ATGTCAAGAAAGAGACAATTTCTTAGTCCAGAGACTACTTACCATGGGACTGAAGCTGAGTCATTCTGTGAGGGTGATGGCAGTCTGGGGGCCCTAGCTGGGGCTGGGCCGGGCTTGGGAGGACGGTGAAACTTCTAGAACTGGATGGTTTGTATACCTGTGCGTATTTTCTCTAAAAGAGTGAATTGTAAAATTCTCAAAGGGTTTTGTGAATCAAAAAAAAGATTAGAAGTATTGCCATAGACAATAAATTTAAGCTGGGTGATGCAGGATTGGTTAAATTATAGAAGGTACAGGGGAGGGAGGATATTTCGAGAAATGGGGAGAGTGCAAAGAAACTTCCTGAGAGTAAAAAAAAAATTCAAGGACAAAGGGACAGGGGATTTACATGAAGCAGCAAAGAAACTGAATTGCAAGAGCAGGTGGGAACTGAGGTGGGGGAAAACCTTAAAAGAGGACAAAGGAGACTGAACTTTCTCCTCCGCACTAGGGGAAGTCATCAGATTTAATTCAACTGAAAAATATTGAGCATCTGATAACACAAAGCTACGTGTGGCGTCTGGGTGGGAACAGAGCCGTGGAGACATGCACGTGGGGGCAGGTTAAGCTTCCCACGCAGCGTAGCAATACTGAGCAGCCATCAGCATTTATTCAGTGCTGGCTACGGGCCAGGCCCTGCGCGAGGTGCTTTCAATGGATTATCTAATGTAATCCTCACAATAAAGGACAAGTCCTTGGTTACATGGCTGGGAATGGTGGTGTCACTGTTAAACTCGGGCAGTGTGGCGGGGTGGCCGTGCCCACACTCTCAAAGTTTGGCTGTGACCCCTGCTTCTCACACCGGGCTACTGACACCTCCGCAGACACCCTGTAATTTCCCAAGCAGTATGTGAAGTGACAACATAAATATTGCATATTTTTATAAACTATCAGCCTTATTCCAAGACTTGAAATAGTGAGCATATTGTATAACATTTATTCAGAAAAGTGCACAGTCATAAGCATATAGCTTGATAAGTTTTCACAGGGTGGAAGTATCCATGTGACCACCCCCCAGTGGAGAAACAGGACACGGCCAGCACTGCAGAGCCCCTGTGTGACCCTCACTGTCACCACAATCAACCGCGACCCTGGCTTCCAATGCCGATGATTAGCTGTCCTGTTTTAGATTTTTATATAAATAGAAGCATGTAGCATAGTCTCTTTGTAGCAGGCTTCTATTTCCTAACATTGTTTGTGAGATTCATCCATGTTGTTGCACAGGATAGTAGTTTGGTTATTAAATTCACATCAGTTTTTAAGGTAAAATATAACGCCACAGTGACATTATTTGCTTTCTAGGGGACATAACCCAATTTTTTGAGAATGCAATTTAGTCTCCTCTTCATCTCTGGTCACTCTGATGATGAAATTTGAACAACACAGGAGCAAGCACTGATTTGGGGTTAGGTGAAATGGATTCTGGGCCTCCTCTACTACTTATAGCTCTGTGACCTTGGGCAAGTTATTTAACTTCCTTACATTTCAGCTTCCACATTGATAGAATGAGGAAGTTAAGCTAAAAGGTCTCTTTAGTCCACTCCATGATGAGCTGTCTTTGCTTCAACTCTAAGCTGAATGAGTTTAATATAAGGAGAATTCATACAGGAAGTGAACTTTTTGCAAAATAAATTTATTTTGTCTATTATAACAGAAAAACATATTTATTGTAACAAGTCAAACAACATCAAGCTACCTAAAGGAAAATTTAATAATATAATCCCTTTTTTCAATGTTACCTTCCCACATTTGCAAAAACAGTGTTAGTTTGGTATGTATACTTCCATGACTGTTTCCATGCTAATATATTAATAATTATATATTCACTTAAATGAGTGTCATTGTTGTCATTTTTGAAATGGAATCATATGTTTTATTCTTTAAGTTTCTTTTCATGGAAATCTTTTCAAGATTAGATCATCAGTTTCTGTTCATTTGAATTAATGATGCACAATGTTCCAGAGTATGCCTACCTTGTAATCAATCAATCAATCAATCATTCCTCTAATGATTGATACTTACGTGGTTTCCAATTTTTTGTTATCGTAATATACTATAATAAACTTCCTGTACACATAACATTAAATCTTTACGTTCTTACTTTGTATGATACACAGAAATGGTCATATTGTTCTCTAAAAAGTCACCTTGATTCATATCTTAGCACTTGAGGTTTGTGAAGATTTGAATGTGAGATTTGGAGCAAGGAAAGAAATAAGATCTTAAACAATTTTTGAATTATTCCAAATATTTATAGGAAATAGAAACCTGAAAATAAAATATTGAGATTAATATATCCTTCACCATCAAATTGATATTAACCGATCAACATGTAAGTGCACATATAGTAGTAACATCCATTGGGTGTCAGGCAGATGGGGGGTGTATACTCACACCTAATGGGTGCAGTGTGCACTGTCTGGGGGATGGCCATGCTTGAAGTTCTGACTCGGGTGGGGCAAAGGCAATACACATAACCTAAACATTTGTATCCCCATAATATGCTGAAATTTAAAAAAAAAATTAAAAAATAAATTAAAAGAAAAAAAATTGAGTTAATAAATTTAAAGAATAAAAAAAGATTAATAGATCCTTACAGGCTCATGCTGGAAACCACTGAAGTCTGAAGTCAGACATGTAGGGAGAAGGAATATTTTTCCAAAGTAAACAAAAAGAGAAACATGGTTTTAGACCCCAAAATGCAATATCAAGAATGAAAAGGCAAAAAAAAAATCTTTCACAGCAATAAGTCGTTTATGTGATTCTGCAGGCAGACAGCGGAGCAGGTTAATTAAACTCTGTGGTGTCAACATCAACCTGGAAAAACATACAGTAACTTGTTAAAGCCGAGTGAGGCGTCTTTTCTGCCCTCCAGACCGGGGAGGCGCCCCAGCAGCTCCCTCCGGGGCCTACGTCCCCTCCCTATGTCACATGCGCTAGGGTGACAGGCACGGATCTTGGGTAAGGGACCAACGTTTAGAGCTAGGCTATTTGGGGTGGTCGATGTTATATAAAGATTCGTTTGTCATGTCGATGTCTCACTCTGGGGCTGCGATGGGAGGGAGAGTTTTCTTTTATCCAGTAAGATCTGAAACACCAAAACCTTCACAACTCCCTAAGAGAAAGCCAGGTGGAAACTGCCATCTGGGATAACAAGCCGGGTGCCAAGGGGGAGAGGAGGGGCAGCGGGAGTGAGCAAGGGGAGGGCAAACGCCTGGGGGACCATTCCCAGGGGAGAGAGGGAGGGGACGCCAGAGGGGAGCGACTGATACACAGCCTGGGCCAGGGGACAGTCACCAGCTTTTGCGCACCAGCTTTTGCGCACCAGCTTCCCCGCGGCTGCGTGCAGGCGTGCGTGGCTGTTAGTAAGGTTTTATTTCTGGTGGTGAACTACTCCTTCCTGCCCTTCCAAGTTTTAAGGGCATAGCTAAGGGGTTGCATCCACAACATGCACGGCGTGGTTCTACGACAACGTGCTCTTCTTTGCACTAGAAGATAGAGCTACTTACTCACCCTCCCGGTACATGCTGTTTTTCTATTCACGGGGATAGTTCCACACTAATCCTGCCACTCCGTCTCCTTGGCCTCCACAGTGACCAACTGGCCCCGTGTGCAAGCAGCTGGTTGAGGCTGCAGAACAGCTCGCTGGCCAGCAGGGCCATGACCCTGTGACCTCCACCTCATAGACAGAATGTTCAACCATCCACTGAGTGTGGGCCCCGGTCCTCCCGAACTGGGTTCCAGCCAGGGCCCCAGCATTTATTGATTATGAGGAGTCTCGCAGGGCATATGTCTTCATTCAGTCTCCACTTGTTTTCTTTCTTCTTTTTTTTTTTGAGGCAGAGTCTCACTCTGTTCCCTGGGCTAGAGTGCCGTGGCGTCAGCCTCGCTCACAGCAACCTCAAACTCCTGGGCTCAAGCGATCCTCCTGCCTCAGCCTCCTGAGTAGCTGGGACTACAGGCATGCGCCACCATGCCCGGCTAATTTTTTCTATATATATATATATATATTAGTTGGCCAATTAATTTCTTTCTATTTATAGTAGAGACAGGGTCTTGCTCTTGCTCAGGCTGGTCTCGAACTCCTGCGCTCAAATGAACCGCCCGCCTTGCCCTCCCAGAGTGCTAGGACTACAGGCGTGAGCCACCATGCCGGGCCAGCCTCCATTTTTTTAATCTATAAAATCCATAAGATGGGAATAATAATTGTTCTCTCGTGTTTGAGGGGATTGATGAGCAAACGTATGTAAGCATTTTCCTCGATAACTAATAACTGATGCTCTTTGATGCCCTCAGCAAAAAAGATACTCCGTGCCTGGGCTGGGGGGTGGGGAGGGTGGGGACAGCTGTTGAGCAGTGGCCAGCAGGACAGCCCCGTCACATGAATGTGTGCAGACAGCGGTGAAGAGTCTGTGGAAAGGTTTACACAAAACTTACGATGATCAGAGAATACCCCTCACCTACAAAAACACCCCTGAGAATGCCTGTGTTTTGTTTTGTGATTCCTTTGTCTTCCATTACTAGTTTGAGCCTGAGTTTAACCTCTCTATTTCTGGTCTACCGGTCTACCTCTGATACCCTGTTCTTCCTTTCTAATGGCATGTTTATTTATCATGCCATGCCCCTGCCAGAGACCTAAATATAATCGTACCCTTTCACCAACTGCTATGGGACAGCCTGGCCTTCATTCTCTTACATACAATCATCTCACAAGGCTTTCAGGGAATGCTAAGAAACTTTCTCTGGAGAGACAAAAATAATGGCACTGAGTCATTTCTTTTGTTGCTCTTCAAATTTCCATATAAAGTTATCAACTGAGTATATACCTTGTCTGATCTAGCAAGTTCGCCTGCTTAACGTGGTTTAATGTGGTGATGTTAGTCACTGTTAATTGCTCAAGAGCTGAGATCAGGTAGGCAATCACTGAGTTCATCTGTAAAAAAAATAAAATGACTGTAGTCATATTAAGGAATAAAAGGCTACGGCTATCAAATGACTGCAAATAATTTCAACAGAATTGAGAGCATCTGTCTTCATAGTAACGTAGACTGTCCCAGAACATGCCCAAGGGTAAGCAGTTTGGGGTTCTTAAGCATCTTATTTCGGCCTATCATTGGGCATTATTATTCCATTTATGAGGTTTCTTCATTTTTCTTTTGAGCCTGTCACATGACAAATTTTTGGCTTTTTTTTTTTTATTTTTAAAGAGAATTTGTGGTTCAAATTAAACCCGACTACTTGGAAATTCACTTTATTTGAAAAAGATTTCTCTGCCTATTTTTTCCTACCCTGGCATTCGTCTAGATAGAAAGCAGTAAAGGAGCCACACAGACACTCTGAAGGTGAGTATCTCTTTCAAAACAACCTGCTCTTTTTGCCTCTCGGGGAGCTTGGGCTAGGGCCATGCTCTTTGCAGGACTCTGGAGGTGGATTTGCAGAACTCTGTGTATTAAGCAATTATGTTTTAATCTGCACCCAAGGCATGTGACCTTCCAACTTTGTAGTTCGCCAACTGCAGGGAGAAACTGCTGGGTCGTCATGACAGACAGGGCCATATGAAAAGTGCTGGAAAAATTCCTCCTTAGGCTATAATTGCCATGATGGGCAGAAACGCTGCCTTCTGTTCAGTGGCGGGGCAGTACGGCTCACAGCGCTTGGGGTGGTGTTCAGGGTTGACTGTCCAAGGCACGGTCAGCCTCAAAGCAAAATTAAAATGGGATGCTGAAAATACTCTGCTTGCCTGAAGGAGCCAAGTATATTTTATTTCATTTTATTTATAGGATCATGATCCTTAACCCCTGAGTACGAAATGTGTACACAGGTTGATTATATGAAAACAAAACAAAACAAATAAACACAGAGTTTATTTGTGTTCATTCAGATAAAATGAAACTGCCGAGTGGATAAGTTGCTCCCTTCTAATTGAGAATCTGGGTGCCCTGAAGAGTATTTGAGCTTGGAAGTCACCAAGACTGGGTATTAATAGCATGATGGTTATGGTCCAAGCTCTGTAGCCAGACTGCCTGCGTTTGAATTCTGCCTCCTAATTTCTTAACATCTCTGCACCTCCCCTTTCCCATCTATTAAATCAGAACAGTAATTCCACCTCATTCATCAAGTTGTTATGAGGATTAAATAAATTGGTATACACGCATTAAAAAGGGTTTCAAGTAGTCCTCGGCACATAGTAAACTCTATATGTCTTAGTTGTGATTATTGTTATTATTATTAAGAATCTAAGATTTTTGTGCCAATAAACATAGTTCTCCATAATCAAAAAGTTGATTGCAAATTTAGCAAATTCTCCCTCTCTCTTTCTGGTTCTTTCCTTCTCTTTCTCTTTGTTTCTTTCCTTTTCCTTTTCTCTTTTACCCTCTTCACCTGGAGCTCTGGCTTTATAGCTGCACTGGGATTCTGGATAGTTCCAGTCCTTCTTTACATTGTGTTTTTCATGGCAGTGGCGTGGGCAGAAGGGGGCTGCCGTGGGCTTGCTTCTGTTCAGGGCTGTGCTGTCCACGTCCCAAGTTGAGAAGGTAGATGATCCCGTTGTTAGGGGCTCCCACTCCATACCTATCCACATGCCTGCTTAGAGGAAGGAACATTTTTCTATGTGGGGGTGGCATTCATGTTGGAAAGGGATGGTTGATGATGTTATTTTTGTTCCCACAAATGTGGATGTTTAAAATAGTGCTTTATTCAATCGGCATAAGTGACACATAGACTATGTATAGTGGCGCAATCGGGCCTGGCAGGTGATCAGGGCCACATCGCACCAAAGTCAAGAGTTGTTCTTCCCTGATAGCACCCAGGGACCCTGCTCTGAGGATGGCCAGCATGGCCCCCATCTTGGGCTGCCTGGCAAGTTTTCTTGCACTCCTGAATTATCTCGAATGGATGCACCTCAGAGCTAGCGAACTGGGATTTTGGCTTCGTTTCCTTGGGGCATGCCAGTGGGTCACATTTCTTCTCTGAACCTCCCTCCAAGCTGCACTGTACTCTTGAAGGGTAAGTGGATTCGTCTTTCTTTCCCTCTTTGACTCCGTGCCCTGCCCGCCTGGCATTCCGCCAGCGAACCCGACTCCTGAGGCCCCAGTCAGGCTATATTTAATTCCTGGTTTATTGTCTTCTACGCTTTTCCAAGTTCAGGGAACTTTCTGGAGATTGATTAGGTATTGTAGGGATTTGAAACAGTGTCAATTTTGGCTCCATATGCTCCTTTTTAGTGACGATAATTAAGTTTATTTCAAGTGTTAAGTTTTAGGTCTTGGAAAATTGCCCTTTTATACTTTTAGTCAACACAGTAAGGATTCTAGAAGGCATTCTTCCTATTTTGAAAAAGAGCATGTTTCATAGAGTGTATCTTTGAGGAAAGAAGGATGGAATATTCTATTCCTATGAAAAGTTTTATTACCCAAACTCCTCTGATTTGGCTCTCCAAAGAAAAAGAAATGCATGGATTTTGTGGCAAATATAAAGCTACCATATATGTGCAAGGGAGATTTTTAGATATTTCCGGAGTGTCCTTAGTTGATTTGAAATGCAGTGCAAAATTTGAATTTCAAGAACAAGGGGGGAAAGAGCTCATTTAATCAGAGGCTTGAGACTGAAAGGTGGCAGAGAGGAAAGAATAACTGCGCACTTGCTAGACGCCTCTGTGACAGCTTACACAGAACATTTGGCTGATTCGAATTAGAACCCACATGCCTCCTCCACCCCCAGCCTTCTCTTTTCATCTCTTCGGAGCCTCTTCTCCCTACCCTCGAGTGCGGTTTCGGCATGAGGAGGGAACGGGCACTAAAAATATTTCTGGAATGACGTGACCCTCTGTCGCCCCATCCAGGAAAGGGACCGGGCTTCACAAGAACCAGCACATGCTTTCCTTCCATTTCCGGGAGTCCCGGGGTCGCTCTGCAGATGCTGCTCCGTGCGTGGCCGATGGCATTCAGACTCCTGGCCGGGCAGACGAGCGGGCGGGACAGCTCGGCGGCGGGGCAGTCCCGGCCAGAGCAGCCGCCCCCCGGCCCGCGGCCCCCTCCGCCGCTGCCCCGGCCCCCGGGCTCGCTGCCTGCCCGCCGCCGGGGCTGAGGACCTGGCAGGCGGTGGCGGCGGTGACAGCGGCGTCTGCAGCCTCAGGGCCAGTCCGGGCACGTGGGGTCCTGCTTCGGGCCACTCTGCAGCCCCTCCGGGGCCAGAGCGGGGCCCGGGACAGCCCCGGCGCTCACCACTGCCTGCTCCTGTCGCTCAAGGCCGGGAGAGGGCTCCGCATGGAAGGCGCCGCTGCCGCGCGGAGCTCGCAGGCCAGGCTGCTGGGAGTGGAAGCCGGGCCGAGCCGAGCTCCAGACGGCCCGGAGCCCCTGCAGCAGCTGCGGCCGCCGCCCGAGCCGCCGGCCACCTCCCCGCCAGAGGCCGAGTGCGCGGAGATGGGCGCCTCGGCTGGAGGCCAGGCCGCGAGCCCCCGGACCCTGAAACGCACCCCGGGGCCCTGCCCCGGGCATCGGAGTGCCCCCGGGAGCCCCGAGGAGAACGCCCAGGAGGAACCGAGCGGACGAGCTCGCAAGGCTCCAAGCCCCCGGCGCGATCCTGCCTCCTGCGAGCCCTGCAGACCCCAGCTCTCCGCCACCGGTGAGGGTGGCAGCTTCTCATCTTCCTCCTCCTCCTCCTCCTCCCCCGTGGACAAAGGAGAAGAGAACGGCCTTTCCCAAATGGAAGATTCCACCGCCTCGACTGGGGCTCTGGCCACCTCCTCGTCATCCTTAGGCTTTGAGAGCGAAAGCGGTGAGAGCCAGGGGTGCCAGCCCGGGGGAGGAGGAGGAGGGGGAAGATCGGGAGTGGGGGGAGGAGGGGCGGGGGGAGGAGGGGAAGGAGAAGGCACAGAGTGCAGGGACATCATTGCCAAGTCCCAGGGCAGCAGGGACCCCCCCAAAGCACGAGAGGCTCACTACATCACCACCCATGAGATCCAGCTGAGCGAGGCGGAGCAGGACACGGATTTCGACGTGGGGCTGGCCTCGCGCTGGGATTTTGAGGACAACAACGTGATCTACTCGTTCGTGGACTATGCTTCCTTCGGTGGCAGCGACGAGACCCCAGGGGAGGTCACCACCCTGACGGAAGAGGACGACGACAACAGCGGCTACCTCAGCACCACCCCCAGCACGCACGCCACCCGGACGCCCAGCCCCAGCAGCAGCGACCTGGCCCGGCCGGACGCAGAGCGCAGCGGTCGCGACACCAGCAGCACCGAAGTGGGCAGCGGCCCCTCCGCCGGCGGCCCCACGCCCCCGCCCGCCGCGCCTGGCACGGCCCTCCTGCGCGAGCCCGGGTCCCCGGGGGCGGCTTCAGGGACAGCCGCGGCGGGCAGCTGTGGGAGTGCAGCAGGCCAGATCCTCCTATCAATCAAGCCGGCTTCCCGGGCTATAAATGAGCCTAGCAACGTGCGTGCAAAGCAAAACATTACTGACGCTGCCAAGCATGAAGGCGACATGAGCCTCCGCGTCTCCACAGCTGCCGAACACAAGTCCAGTTCACTGAAGCAAAACCCGGCTGCAGCCGTGGCTCTGGACCATGCAAAGAAATTCATCGCCGTCCCTGCTCGCCTGCACACGCGGTGCGGGGCGGTCCGGGCGAAGGAGCTCGCGGACTACTCCAGCGGGGCCTCCAGCGCCGTGAGCGAGCTGGACGACGCGGACAGGGAGGTGCGTAACCTGACCTCGCGGGCCTTCCGCAGCCTCGCCTACCCCTACTTTGAGGCTCTGAACATCAGCTCGCGGGAGTCCTCCGCCACGCTCTCCGAGGTGGGCTTCGGGCGCTGGTCCACCTTCCTGGACCTAAAATGCGGGGGCGTGGGCGCGCGCGTGGAGCAGAGCCTGCTCAGGGGCAGCGCCGCCTCGGTGGCCGCCGGGCTCAGGAAGGGCGGCGGGGCCAGGGCGGCCGCAGACCAGCTCTACATCCAGGCCAAGAGGTCCCAGACCAAGGCCCTGGAGTTCGTGGTCAGCAAAGTCGAGGGGGAGATCAAACACGTGGAGACGCCCTTGTGCTTCCAGAAGCAGGTGCAGACGGGCGCCCGCGTCGTCACCCTGCTCGAGCCCCTGAACCTCCGCGGTGACAGCAAAGCCAGCGCCGCCACCGGGCCTTGCGGGGCCGCCAAGGGCTCCAGCAAGGGGCCGGGATCGGTGTACACGGACGACGGCTCGGAGGCCTCCGAGGGCAGCAAGCCCGGCTCCCGGGCCGACGGCCCCCAGAAGTCCAGGTTCGCTTCCAGTCTGCTCAAAAATGTCATCTCCAAGAAGATGCAGCGGGAGCACGAGTTCAAAATGGAGAGGGGAGAGGTCACCGACACGTCCCACCGCAACCTGCCCGGCGCCCCCAGGGACGCCGAGGGCCCCGCCGGGGCGGAGAGGCCGCGGGAGCGCGGGCTGCAGCGACAGGGCTCCCGCCACTCGGACGCAGGCTCGGAGTGCGCGGCGGGCAGCGTGGCGGGCAGCGTGGCGGGCAGCGCGGCGGGCAGCGCCGCGGACGCGGGCGGGGACGGGTCTCGGTCCCCCGTGTTCAAAGCCAGCACCCCGCGGGAGGGCAGCGCGGGCTCGGGCCGGAGTCTGGCCGAGGGACACACAGAAGTGTGCGAGATCAAAAAGAGCGCCTCCGAGACCGTCAAGGGCATTTTCCTGCGCAGCCAGAACAGCGCCTTCCGCTCCTGGAAGGACAAGGAGGCGGAGAAGCGCGACGGGCGCGCGGGCGGCGGGCGGCTGAAGCTCCCCAAAGGGGCCGACTGGCGGGCGGACCTCGGGGAGATCTCCGCCAGCAAGCCCACCATCATGTCGCGCCTGTTTGTCCCCAACATCCAGCACGCGCCCAGAGACAAGCAGCCGGGGAAGCAGGCCACCAAGTACCCTGCTGCCCAGGCCACGTCCACGGCCGTGATCAGGCCCAAGGCCCCCGAGATCAAGATCCGGCTGGGGAGCGTGCAGCAGCCGAGCTCGGACTTCAACATTGCCAAGCTGCTCACGCCCAGGCTGGCCGGCGGCGGCGCCTCCAACCTCTTCAAGACCGTTGAGGACAACAGCAGGGCACAGCAGAAACTCTTCCGCGGGGACAACCTGGAGAAAGTGCCGCATTTCCAAGTGAGAGACGTCAGGGACAAGTCCAAGGCGCAAGGCCCTCTGCACCAGGTGAGAGACGTCAGGAAGCTCATCAAAGGGTCGGGGGACAGCAGTGACAAGGGCAGTGTTACTCCGGAGCAGGGGCTGGCAGGGCCCACCCCCCGGCAGCTGGCCGCTGCAGCTGGCGGGTCGGGATCCCTGTCCCCCTTGGTGATTACGTGCCAGGCCGTGGTGAACCCGAGGGAGGACGGCGCGGACCGGGAGCCGCGGGACGGCGCGGGCAAGAGCAGCAGCAGCAGCGCCTTGAGCCCGTCCTCCCCGGAAGGGACGGTCCTGGTGCACAGGGCGTCTGGCAGGCTGCCCGTGGCCACCATCGCCCCCAACAAGCCCGAGCAGGGCTCATACTTGCCGGTGCTCAAGATCGTCTCCAAGGCTTCTGCCCAGAAGACCCCAGAGAAGCTCAAGGACGAGGAGGGCGGGGAGGACGGGAAGGCCCCCAGGCCCGCCCGCAACGCCCTGGAGAAGCTCACGGCCGCCGTGCGCTCCATGGAAGAGCTGTACAGCTTCGGCCGCAACGAGTGGAAGCGCAAGGGCGACGCTCTGCCCACGGTGGCGGACAGCCACGTGCTGTCGCTCATCGCCAGCGAGGAGAGGGACGCGGGCGTGGGTGCGGAGGGCGACCACGACAAGCCGGCCAAGCGGCTGGGGGACGTGGCGGAGCGGGGCACGGGACGCAAAGGCGACGTGCTGCTGCGAGGCGCCCCGCCGGAGCGTCTGCAGCGGAGAAACTCCAACCCCAGCGCCGAGAGCGTGTCCGCCCGGGCCGCCGCCTTCGAGAGCCTCGCCCGGCAGCGGCCGCGGTCGCTCTATATCCCCCCGGCCCACAAGGACGCGGAGAGGCCCCAGCCCCTGCAGCCGCTGCAGCCCCTGCCCCCGCTCCCCGGCAGCCGGAGCGTGTTCACCGTGAGCGCCAGCAGCACCCAGAAAACGGGGGGCGTCGCCGGCAAGTTCCCACAAGGGTCCTCTCCAGAGAGTCCTTCGGCGGCCCAGGGCGTCAAATCGCAGGGACTCCGGTCCCTCAGGATCTCTCCGGCCACCCAGGCACCTCCTGATGAGGTGGCCAGCAGGAAAAGTGGCGGCAGTTTGGAGAAGAGCAACAGCGACTGCGAGCATTACCTGGCCATGCCCCTGAAAGGAAGCTCTGCCGCAGGGGCGCCCCCGGGCCGGCCGGGGGCTGCGAGGGAGGGCGCCCCCGCCGCCTCGGCCGCCACCCTCTGCAGCTTGCCGCCCCTGAGCGCCCGCAGTCAGGTCCCCAGCAGCCCCAGAGGCTCCCAGGTCGGCGGCGCCAGCCGTCCCGCGTGGCGCACGAAAGCCGACCACCCGCGGGAGGCAGCGGCCGCCGCCGCAGGGCCGCAGAGCCCCGAGCGCGCCCCCGCCGCCCTCTACCGCCAGCAGCCGCTGCCCTTCGCCCTGCAGGGCGCCCCGCCGCAGGTGCTGTGCCTCTCGCCGCCCGGCATGCCGGCGCCCGCCCCCGCAGGCCCGGCCGCGGCCCCCGCAGACCCCTTCCTGCAGCCGCAGCCCCCGCAGACGCAGCGCAAGATGCTGCTGGACGTGGCGACCGGCCAGTACTACCTGGTGGACACGCCGGTGCAGCCCCTCACGCGGAGACTGTTCGACCCCGAGACCGGGCAGTACGTGGACGTGCCCGTGACCCCCCAGCAGCAGGCCGTGCCTCCCGTGCCCTTCCCCGTGCCCCCCGTGGCCCTGAGTCCCGGGGCCTACGGACCCACCTACATGATCTACCCGGGCTTTCTGCCCACCGTGCTGCCCGCCAACGCCCTGCAGCCCGCGCCGGCCGCCCGCGCCGGGGCCGGCGAGCTGTCCCCGGTGGCGGCGGAGCCCCCCCGCGGAGAGGCCGCTGCGGCCTTCACGGAGGCCCCGTACTTCGTGGCTTCCGGTCAGTCTCCGGCCTCCTCTTCCTCCGCAGCCCCAGTGGCCGCGCCCCAGCTCGTGGGGGCCAAGGGCTTCGCCCAGCTGCACGGCAAGCCTGTCATCAGCATCACCTCGCAGCCGCTGGGCCCGCGGCTCATCGCGCCCCCGTCCTTCGACGGCACCACCATGAGCTTCGTGGTGGAGCACAGATGACTGACGGGCGCCCGGGAGAAGCGAGCAGCGCCGGTAAGTGACTTGTTCCTGGTAACCAGGCTTCAGAGAGTAAGGACAGTCCTGTCCCTGAAGTGGGAGACTGACAGCAGACGAGGATGGTTCTAGAAACGGGAAGACCGGAAGGCTAGAACAAACCCGGTCCATTTATGAAGGAGCTGGTTTTCCTGCCAGACTTCCTCCTGTCCACGCTGGTCAGTGCCACAGCCGGCCCCTCCCTGCACCTTTCCCCGTTGCCCGGGAGGCAGGCGAGCCTGGGCCCGGCCCTCCGCGTTGCTGGGGCCGGCAGGGCGGGCACGCGGCCACCCGGCCTGGTTTCCTGGGGCGAGCCCCGCTCTGTGCTCCCGGCCTGGTTTCCTGGGGCGAGCCCCGCTCTGTGCTCCCGGCCTGGTTTCCTGGGGCGAGCCCCGCTCTGTGCTCCCGGCCTGGTTTCCTGGGGCGAGCCCCGCTCTGTGCTCCTGGCAGCGCTGGCGTCCTGGGAGGTCACTGGACACCCCTTTAATCTGTCTGGGCCCCAGGAGTAACGAGAGTCGAAGACAGGGAGGTTTTCTAGAATCTGCAGAAATGCTTCTTCCCTCTCTTCCTCTTGAAATTGCTTATACAAAGGGACTGTATTTTTTAAACTATCGTTTTCCACTTTCCAGTTGATTGGAACGATTTTCTTAGGGCGAGTCTGAGGTCCTCAGTGTATCTTTCACGCGCACACACAAGAGTGAACTCCAGGAGACGCGAGGTGAGGGCAGAGCTGGGCTTCTCCTTGAGCGCAGTTGCCCTGTTTCTTCCAGCTCCTTCCGGCTGAGTCCATTAAGCTTCACTGCCAACCACCCAAGGCACTCATTTTCATACCTGTTTTCTCTTTTTTCCAAAAAGGATCAACTTCCACACTTATTGCTATGCAAAGGGGATGAGAGAAAATAGATTGCTGCCACCTAGGGCAATGCAAAGCCACACACAGGAGTCCCTGCTGTAAACACGGCCCGTGGAACTCGATAGGAAGAGCAAGCTTGGCCTGTTCAAACCAGGACATTTCAGGTCAAACTTGCAAGACGGGGCAAAGACACCCTCTGATGGGAGTGCAAAGGTGGCAGAACAGTGGGGACAAACTTGCCCCTCGTGCTCTTGTTCTCTTCATACTAGGAAAGGGTGGGATCATAAATGCTTCTAGGACTTTCACTTCTTGGTCAGATCATATACTGAACCAAAAAAAAAGGACTAGAAGAGAAACCCTACTTATACTTCTATAATAGAAATAAGCCATTTCTCTCTTCCCTGATTTAACTGAAAAGGAACAGAGGAACATTGTTGCTTTGCACAATAAAAGAGCCATCCTTTAGGAATTAGGATCAGTGGATTATAAACTTACACAGATTTGTCACCAGCAGTGTGATCTTCAGCATGAAAAACTATAGCATTCATGTGTTGTCTCTAGTGGGGACAATAATATCTATCCCTCAACTTGTAACTGAATGTCAGATGATTTAACAGCATATTGAAAGCTATAAAATCTTCTTAAAATTAGGGGATTGTTACTAAATATTATTACATTCATTCTCCTGTAAGACAATATTAGTCACTGTCCAAAACTCCTCGGGTCTTTCTCTAAGAACTCAGGTGAAAGCCTAACTCTCGTTTTAGCTGCAATCTAGAAATAGATTCTTTGAACTCTTCTCCAGGAGTCTGCACCAGGCCCTGTGTGATGATCCCAAATAAAGAGGGGAGGGAGGAAATTAAAGATAAATAATGGATGTTTTCTTTGGTATAGAAACAAAGAAAACATTCAACTTGCATGGGAAGAAGAGTCAGAATGAGAGAACCGGTTTTGCAAAAGGAAGAGTAGGCCGTAGGCAAAAGTGTTTTAATTTCCTGGACAGGTGGCATGTTTACCTAGGGCTATTTTAGGCTGGCTAATCCTGCGAGGCCTTTGTGCAGGCTGTGGAGGTGCAGGGGCGAGGGGAAGGGAGGACAGGGGGGAGGAGGGAGGACCGGGGCACACACTTGCTCAGCGTCCGCTTAGCAGCTGCCTTTTGGCCTTTCTCCTGGCAGCTCGGAGTCTGCAGAGACTAGACTTGGAGTTGCTTCCACCAGACGCAGGCATCAGAGAGTTTAGTGTTTGAGACTTCAATAGTGATTTTTGAAAATTTTTCCCATTTTGAAAGCACAACCTTTATTTTAGTGAACAATCCTAAAGATACACAGAAAAAAGATAGATAGGCAAAAGCTGGTTTCTTGATTTAAGAAGAATAGTCTTAAATAGGAACTAAATGTTAGCTTTTTGGGTGCAGGCAAAAACTGACTTAGCCAAACTCAAATAATGAATTAAAATCCTTCAAAATTTACCTTCCTGAAAGTTCTATACCACTTCCCAAAGAAAAGTCAAATAGATTTTTGAAAAGTGTGTAGCATCCCTTTTCCTTGTGTGAAAAGTTTCTTAAACACTTAAGACATTTCAAAAACCCAGCTGATGCTATTTGAGTGGTCAGTAGGAGAAATCTCGAGAGGTGGCTTCGGTTCGATTTTTCCTTTGAAAATCAGACTTATGGAAGAGATTTGTGTTTTTGAGGTGGAGTAGGGTTGTATGTCTCCCTTTCAACTGAGAAGCTGCGTAAATGATTTGATGCAACCACGATATTTCACAGAGAAGAAAACTGGGACTTAGACAGAAATGGTTTTGCTGGGATCCTCAGAAAGGAGAGGGCCAGGACCTGCGGAGGTGGCTCAGAACTCCTGGCCACACCGTGCTCCCCGCAGACCCCTCTTTGTGTTCCTTAGCAGGATGCATGGATTGAAGGAAGGATGGCAGAGGAGGTGCAGTGGTCCCTGCACTGGCGAGGACATCTGGGATGTCCCTGGTGACATTTGGCATTGACTGTCTGTGTTTTCATTTGCCTCTCTGAGCATTTGTAAAGTGAATGTTGGGACCAAGTGCTCCAATTCTCTCATTCATTCAACAAACGTGAATGGCTTGTCTACACTCTACCAGTTCCTGTGTGCTCTTCTGTGCAGCTGCAAACCCCCATGTGACCCAGCACAGTCCCACAAGGCAGGAGCCTGCCCCCTCCCTCCCCCGCCCCAGGAGGAGACAGACCTGTACAGACTCAGCTGCAAGCCCAGTGTTCAAGAACCCTCGTAACCTTTAAGATGCCTTCCGGCTCAAATAATAAGTATTTCATCCTCTATTTTTAGCACCACGTTGCAACAGGGAGCTTTGCTTTTTTTCCTCCCTGTGTATATTTAAGCATAACCAGCTGCTGGTATCTTTCTGATTATTCTATTATGAATTTTCCTTTATTTATTTCTGATTTTATAGGAGGATTTTTCTTCTCTTCGTCCTGTGATCAATACTCCAGTATTTCTCAAATTTTTCCATGCCACAACCTATCGAAAAAGATAATTGATACTATTGTTTATTTGATTATTATTTGGTAATGCCAGCGCACGTTGTGATAAATAGACAAAGCTGGTCACCACCGGGCAGCCGGTAGTGCAAACGCCAGGCGGCCACAGAGTGACCCGGTTACAACACTCCAGGGTGCTGGGCACGCAAAACTTCACCGCTTTCTCGCTCTTTTCTTTTTGTTAGGTATTTTGTGTGTGTGTAGTTTGGTTTTGCAAATCTCTTCTCTGTGGGATCTTTGTCAACTTTTTGATGCGATAATTTTTGTTTTAGTTTTCTGCAGTTTGAGGCATGTGGCTGTATTTTCCTTTCCCTGACATTCTCTTTCCTGCTTTCTCCTGCCCACCCACTTAGATGTTATATTTTGGTTTTAAAATTATAATTGAGACTTAATACCAAATACCATTTACTAAAGCATAGACATAAAATAAATATGGAATATTAATTTAAAAAAACCTTTAATTGGCACCATGCCTGTTAATAGTGGGTACCAGCGTCAGAGTATTGCAATTGTGTTGTTTCGTTTGAATGTCCTTTTTTTTCCTGTAAGACTTCGTTTCTGCATTTCTCAGTGTGCTTCATGTTGCTCCTACATTGTTGATCTTTCTTTTCTGTCCTCAGAGTTATTTCTAACCCCCTAATAGAGCCCCACACACCAGCAACTGCAGTAGAAAGAGAAAGGGCTGGATTCAGGGAAAGCTATTTTTGTAAGAGTGTTCTAAAGGGGCCCTAGACCAGTACTTAGGGCATCAAACCCAGCCCCCTTGTGTTAAAATTGCAAGAGGAAATTGGGGCTCAGAGAGGTCAAGTGACCCTTCTTGAGCCACAGTTTCCCTTCAGGGCAGAGCTGGGACTCAGAACGTAAACACTGCACGCCTGGTCCAGGCTGGAGCGCAGTGGCGGTGCAAACGCATGTTCTTCCTGCTGTCTGTTTCTGCTTCTCTCTTTCACCCTAAGGCCACTTTTCTTTGATGGTCTCCCTTCCTGGTGCCTGTCCCACCAGGCCCCGTTTTTCTCCCTTGCCATTTGAGAATGCATTTTCTGTTCTTTGCAATGTTTTGGTTTTTTCCCATTTATTCTTCCTTGTGGTTTCTCACTACCCACTCTCTGCAACTCGATTTAATTCAGTGCACACACCTGGCTCTGTCCCTTCTCCTCACTTCTTTTGTAGTTTTTTTTTTTTTTTTTTTTCCCATCACAGACTGGACAGCTTAAAGGGCAGGCCTAGGTGGGTGCTGCCAGCTCCCTCACCTGAACACTGAAAGCTCTGTGCAGCCCTGGCAGGTCGCCAGAGGGACAGGACTCTGGCTGTCCTCCCTGTCTTCTGCCAACGCAGGCTGGCTAGCTGGGCTGCAGGCTGCAAGCTCAACATTTCGTTTGCAGTTCACTCCATAATTCCTTACCCAAATCGATTAGTTTATTTCTAATCCCTCCCTACTTGGTTGCAGCTTCCTTCCCAATTCCTATATGTAGCTGCTGTTTTATTTTATTATCTTCTTAATGTCTTTTTTGCCTTTTCTCTTCCCCCTTTCCCTTTTATTGGATCATAGTTTTCCTTGAGCTTCCTATTTTGTGCCTTTCTCTACAGGTAATTCTATTGCCTGTATATTTTCTTCCCTTCCCTCTCTAAAATTAGTAAGAAATGAAAAGTCGTAGCTAATGCATATTTATCATTTAGTATATACCAACACTTAACATGATGCCATTGGATTCTTAAAACAAGTAGGTACTATTTTTAACCCCTATTTGACAAAGGAAAAAATAACTTATCCCGGGTCAACGGTCATGGAAATCCAGTGGCCCCTTCTCTTGTAGATGTCCCCGTTCATCCACTTCTCTTACTCTCCGCCTTCCGGTCTGAGTGCAGTTGTGAGCTGTGCCCCTCCCCTTGTCTGCGCTCTGTGTCGGGTCTATCTTACAGCCTGCTTCTCCAGAATGTTCCAGCCATTGCGTTTTGCTTCTTGGCCGCGTTGTGCTGATAAAGGATTGATGATGTGAAACATTAATGTCCTCGTGGAGGGGAGGCAGAGGACATAGGTGGAGTTTGACTGATTACTCTGCTGCTTAGTTTTCTAACTTCAGTTTCATTCAAGGGAAAATAGAAGTCCTATGGAAGAGGAGATAGAATTTCCTAGCCATTTCACTGCTCTGTGTGTGCGTGTGTGTGTGCGTGTGTGCACGCGTGTGTGTTGTGGGTTCAGGGGAAAGGCAGGGAAAGGGAATAAGTTAAGAAGTTGATCCTGAATCTGGCAATGTCCAGCATATGCTAAGCCTCTACGTATGTTTTTCTTTTGATTAAAAAAAATTAACTTTCTTTAGAACATTTTATGCCCCCAAAAGAAACCTGAGCCAGTTTCAGATCTTCTAGGGCGGAGGCTCCTGGTGGCAGGGCCGTGTCTTGTGTGCAAGGAGGGCAGGCGTGCGGCGGGTCACCTGGGACGCCGGCGGGCGGGCAGGAGCATCCCAGCGTGGCTGTCACTGAAGCACAAGTGCAGGCGATGTGAGGTCCGGCAGCCCGGCTCCAAGTTTAACACTGTCCAGTGCCAGTCGAGGCCAGCGACTTGCTCTTGCTGGGACTGTGTCCTCATCTGCAAATCAGACACATCTGATTTGTGCACACCGTTTAGGGCTCGTTGTAGGCATTCAGCCTCCCTTGGAGACCAGACCTCATAGATGCCTTGGAATCCCGATGGTCTCAGGCGTCTCATCAGAGAAGAAAATCAGCCCTCACCCTGCGGACCCCCCAGGCAGAGTCAGGGGACCAGCCCAGGACTATGCTGTTCCCCCAAACTGGAGGCCGAGCCCACAGCCCTGCAGTCCCCCATGCGCTGGCTGGCCCCCTGCAGGGCAGGCCAGAGGCTGGACGTCAGGGCAGCCTGCCATCCCCGGGGCCTTCTAGAATGTTCGCAGCTCTGGCATGGCTTGCCAGCTGCGTGTGGTGACTTTCCTGTCTGTCTGGGCCTGCGTGGAGAAGGAAAATCTGGCCCAGCGTCCCCCCTGACCTCTGTCACGTGCTCTGCTCCAAAAATCCTGGGAAGTCACCCAGCCCAACTCCCCGGAGACAGCGCAGTCACCCCGTCATCTTTACTGATTCTTCACGATCCGCTGTGCCACAGTGACAGTTTGCGAGGCCTCTGATAGGTTATACTGGCAATTTTTATTATTTTTTCTTTAGTAGGAATTGGACCGACTTTATTATTTTCAAGATTTCAAACAAGCTTCCTTTGAAGTTAACGTAAACAGAAGGAATATTCCGTGACAATCCAAAAGGGCAATATCTGGACGATCAATCCCTAAATATGATAATAATAGATTGTATAACCTCTCTCTCCCCACCCCCATCTTCTCACTCTGCACAAGGAGACTTTGCAAACCTTGCCTTACAATACGAGTTGTCAAATCCCTGGTTATCCACACTGAAATTATTCTTGTTAGTCTCCTATTTTCTCTTTCTCTTCTTATAATTAAAATTTTTTTTCCTGTTGCTGCTCTGTATGTCCTAAAATAGAAAACCTTAAATTTAGCAAATGGGAGGTCTCTAAACCCACAATAGTCCGTTTCATTCTGAAGTTCATTTATTTCTCAATATAAAATACAAAGCAATACAATAAACATGAAGTATGTCCATTTGAGCTATAAAACCAGATTATTCTTATAGACTTTTTTTCCTTAAACATATATTTCAGTAGATGTGTTTCTAGATGACAGAATTTAAATATCCCCTGCCTCACTACTCTGATTTTATATAATTGGTTAGGTAGCTGTTAATGGATACTCCTTGGATACTTTTCTCACATAAGTCTTCTTAATCCCTAACAAATATTACCTATAGGCTACTGTATTTATGTCTTCATAATATTATGTTCAAGTATCAACTGCCAAATGTTAAAACAAAAGTTCTTTAAGCAAAGCTCTAGTATATCAATACTATATACTATTGCTATCTAAAGATAGAAAGAAATAGCTGATTTTTAGTAAGCTTTTGGACATGTTAATGCTGTCTTAAAATGGATTTAACTAAGTTATTGGTTGTAACCAGTATATCTCATTTTAAACAAAATGCACAGTGTGAAATTCCACATAATTTAGGCAGTGATCATTTGCTTTACAAGAATTCTCAGTATAGAGTTTACTCATTTAATTCGATTACTAATTCATGCTAAATTGCAAATGTTTCCATTTAAATATCACTTCTTCATGCTGATTTTAAGAACATATCTATTATAGTGTTTTATGTCTGCTATGAATGATTTCAGTGAAACTAAACATTTAACTCCAAAAACATTTTTGAATCGTTGATTAGATTTGATTTGGGTTCCACTCTGGGCATTTCTTAAAGTTATGTAATGTTTAGTAGGTTCAGAAACACATTTGTCAAACATATTTTAAAACATGAACTTCACCATTAATATTGACATTAGCCAAATAGTTAAATAAAATATATTTTGACATTTTTCTTGCCTCTAAAAGTGAGATTTGCTTTTAGAACTAACATTCTTTTCTTTGACTATTTTTTTTTATAGGAGCAAGACAAGATGGACTATTCTCGTTCAATCTGAAAGTTGCATTGTAACAGCACTAAGAATTCATGTGAAAAACTTCTTCCACATGTGTTATTCTTAATTTTTGCTTCTTATAAACCAAGTGTGTAAGTTTCCATTTTCCTGAACAACCCTCTTGAGGCAGTTTCTGTTATTTTAATTTTACTAGCTTGATTGAATGGTTGCGTTTTTCCCCTGTAAAACGATTTCTTTTTATACTTTAATACAGGATATACTTTCTATTCACCTCCTTCCCTCCTGCACTTGTGACTAGGCAAACAATCCCTTTGTTCACATGGTTCAATTAAAACATACAACACAATGGGATTGTTTCTGTTGTAAACCAAGCCAGCAACTCAATAATGTGGATCACAAATCTCCTTATAGATCCTTACACTGTCTCAAGACTAGCTGGCAGAGTTGTAGCACATATTTAGGTTTTAAATATGATGGTTCTGCTCTTTGAATCACATGCCAGCCAGGCCTAGTTATTCTCTTGGCTGTTCTTTACATGTTCTTTTATTTGGTGTGGCATGATGTGATCGTGAAATCACAAATGTGATTGTGAAAAGCAGTGGTTTTAACATTTGTACTTTGTTTTGTTTTTCCCATCTGTGCAATGTCATGACATTATCTGTTGCCTTAAAATAGAATGGCTTAAAGTACGGGCCAGCTAGAGATTGCTTTTAAAATTAAGTTTTGAGTCGCAAAAAGATATAAAATATCTATTTCCCTTTAAGAATCCAACCTTTGTTGTGAGTGTAAACCGTTTTTTTCTTGAATGATTCCCCCCATAGCTGCATACTCTTGTCTCTCACGGATTGTTTGGAGTCCAAAGAATGACTTGTTGGGGGGCAGAGAATCGAACGTGCCTCTGATTCACACCAGCCCTAGACTAGCCACCCCAAAAGCAGCAACCTCAAATTACAGCACTTGCTTCTTATGAGGCAGGTTTTAAGAGATGTTGAGAATCCAAATCATGGAATCTTTCATCAACATCCAGTGCTGTCTCGGTTGTAACCCAATTCTGAAGGCTATTTGAGTGAGTGTTCACAGTTGATTGGACAGTAAATATTTAGCTTATTATAATTAATAAGTATGTCAATATATACTCCGCAAAGTTTACATTGAAATATTAATATTTCTTAACTAATTTTTAAAGGAATAATCTGAAAGTTCTCCCAGGCTTGTAAAATAATCTCCTTTTATTTACTTATTTGCTAAAGTATTTTGATAATTTTTAAAGACCCTTATTTTAATTTTAATGGCCATCGATATTTGGACTGTGCTTAAAATTGCCTCTTGGAACCACTGAATTTCATGCTACTCATGACAGAAGGTGCGAGTACAAAATTATAAGATGATTTTTGTATGATTTGTATGTTACTATTTTGTAATTGTGTTTCTCATCTCAGACTCTTTAGAAAAAACTCAGCTTCACTTTAGGGTCTTCCTTAAAGGGATCTTACTCTAAAAACAAAAAAGAACTTTTCTTGGGTAAAGGGAAAGGTTTGAGGCAGAAATAGCCAGCTTTGGTCCTAGTTCAATTGCTCATTAGGTCCATGAGCTATGAATTGAAGCTATAGCCTTTATGAGACATGAAACATGAAACATGGTCTCTGCATAAAGAAAAGACGCCCTTGTGCCATATTCAGGAAAATTATTATTTGTTTCTTTATCAGGGAGGTCTTCTTACCCAGGTAAATCAGTCGGTCCACCCAGAACTTAATTTCTCACCACCAGGGAATAAATCTTACAGCATCAACACTTCCTCATGTTCAGGAGAGACTGGCTGAGTTTAAGGTCACTTAACATTAAAATGAGAAAGTAGAATCCATTTTAAAGATCTCAGACTTTTAATACTGAAAGTAGCACCCTAAAATCGCAAGTATTTGAATACACCTGGTGAAACATACATACAATTTAGGTGGATGGTACCTAAATCGGTAAGACTGGTATAAAACCATATGTGACTTTTAGGAAAGCCCAGTGGCCATGCTGCGTGGTCACTGCTTGCCAGCTCTTCAAAAGGACACCCCTAGTCCCCTAGAAGGTGCCATAGAGTTGAGGGTTTGGGGGCCCATACCCTGTCGATCAATATTTATCCCCAGCGGATCTGAGCTTGAAATTCTCACGTTGAGGGAAACTAGGACAGAAACTAGGAGAGAAAGGAGAACTTCTCATTTGCTGATTCTGTCCAAGAGGCTACACCCTCTGGGAAGTTGCCAAGGACATAGTGAATGTCCACGTGGTTACAAATGTAAGTTTAAAATAATGTTCTATGAATATCATATTATTTATTAATAATTTTATGGTTCTCTATTTCGCCAAACCATGTTAAGCTGCTAGGCCATTTACTACCTCAAGTGACAGGGAAAGGACATTTTCCCAGGCACCAGGTCAATCTCAAGCCTCATTTTCACTGTTTTGTCATTTCCTGAGATTGTGTGGATATTTAAATGAAGTGATGTGCCCTTCCTTTTCCAACCAGAGTGGAATCATACAAGAGTCTATGAAGCCTTCTGACCCATAAAACTGTCATCCTAACAATGCCCCTTTGCTACTGAGCTACCCTGTTGTGCTTTATGTCTGCGGTCCCCATCCCCTGGGCCGCTGATGGGTGCCAGTCTGTGGCCAGTTAGGAACCGGCCGCATGGCGGGAGATGAGCGGCTGCCGGGAGTGAAGCTGCGAAGCTTCATTGGTATTTACAGCCGCTGCCCATCTCTCACCTTTCCTCCCCCAGTCAGCGGAAACGTTGTCTTCCATGAAACCAGTCCCCGGTGCCAAAAAGGTTGGGGACTGCTGCTTTATGTACATAAAGTCATTAATAAAGCATTTCCTAAGAGCTCCTTGAGCTTGAATCTGATCAGCATTGCAGGATCTCGTGTTTGCGATTTCCTCTCGGGGTTACGTGTGGTTCAGTTGTCCGGAAGAACCACAGGGCATTGTGTGCAGAGATCTTAACCCATATCTTCTTTTTCCTTCTGGGTAAAATGTCATGTTTGAAATATGCCCCATTTGAATTGTTTCTGGAAAACTGAACACATTTGTAACCAGTATGAAAATTTAATTCACCAGGATGTATGTTTTTGAAAGCACTCACTGAAATTGCCCTCAGGATTAGATAGGAATGACTGAGCTTGTAGACTCTCTGTATGTCAGTTTATCGCTAAAACAAATTAACTTGGACATGTTTATAATAAATGTCAACTATAACATTTATTTCAAACCCCTCTTCCTATCACTAGAAAATATCTGGTGATATAAATTCTTTTTTCTTATTTTCAGATTTGACATTATCATCCTTGCCTCTTAAAAAGATACATTTTGTTTTCATACTTCATAGAAATCAAAGTCTGTGTTTGCTGCAAATCGAATGCTCACGCTGCCTGGAGTAATATTAATACTTTGGACTGCAGGACAGTATTGATTCCTAAGTAGAGTGACTATAATCTCATGATAAGTATGTATATGTGCATGGGAAAACACATTCAATGGTAGTATTTGTGTTTAAAAACTATCATGGTATACATTTTCTTATGTGGTGCTCGAGGAGTTTCATTCTACAGTTTACAAGGTGTAGGTTTGCACCCCAAATTCTCAGGGTATGCTATTTTACCCAAATACTTGAATGAAAAAGGTGCCCTGTATTTTATCAGTACTGTTGAGGGGAAATATTGTGTGTAAGTTTGTTCGAGAAAACTACTTATAAAAATCAAAATCATAAACTATGTTAGGCTTTTACATAATTTCTAAGGAGAAATATATAGAAATAAGATATATATTTTCAAGAGACTACTTATATATTCTTAACTAATTTCTGGGTCCTAAATAGACCTCACAGGTGCATAATATCATTAATAAAGCATGTAGCACTCGCTAATTGGTGCCTTGAACTTGAATCTAATAGGAATTGCAGACTCTGGTCCTCTGGAGAAAAAGCGTGTCCATCTGTGGCACGTGTGAGTACAAAGCCCAGGGGAAAGTTCTAGAAATTGGACTCCTTTGTATGCCCCATGTCTCAGAAGAGAACTGAACATTCACAGCGACGTTTGTAAGCTGTTAACTTTCAGTGTTTCACGTTGCAACTAGAGCACATTATTAGATGTCTTCCTGTTTAATTCATAATGGTGCAGAATAAAACACACATCTGATTTGATTTCTTTTTCTTTTTTTAAGTTTTTCATAATTGCTTTTTACAAGCTTGTGTGAATGGCGAAAAGTCCTTCCCAGGGCTTCCTAAATTACCTACCACACCTGTCTCCATAGCAGGTGGTCCTTTCTCTTTCTCCCCCCTTTGAAGATGTTTCTGTATTTACATATAAGTCGTGTTATTGTGCAGTAAAGACCACGGTGGTTGAGAAGAATGTGCAGGCTGTAGAAGTTATGTTCGAACTGAGGAGAGTAACTAAATAGTGAAGGACATTGGAAAAAAGCCGGTGGCAAATGGAAAGAATGTGGAATTTTAAATGGCACTCAATGTAGAAATCTTGTTTGAAAAGTTCCTATCTGAGATCTGGTGTGATTCAATTATAGAATGCAGTGTGAGCTTGGCCAAGGGGACTTTGAGCCCAGCCCAGCAGCTCTGAGAATTGCATTTTCAGTGTATTGCATATGGAGAAAGCTACTTAGACAATGATTCTGTGAGACTAGGCCTACTTACCTGAAATTGCCAGCATTTGTAAATGATTGTGCAATCTTGTGTAATGGTCTTTTATTTTGAATGTTTTGAAAAAAAATGTTTTGTTGTTTGTTTTTTTTTTCCAGTAAAAGTAACTGCAAAGAAAACATGCATTGTTTGTCTTTATTTTAACTCAAAAAGCAAGCTTTGGATATTTTCATTTTCTTCTAGCTTAAATCCCTTACTTAACTAAAATAGTAACATTGTAGATTTGTCCCTGTACCCAGAGTGTTTCAACTGGCCAACCTACAGAGTCCCACCCAAGCTCACCTTGCTATGTAGCACTGGGAGGGGCACCCACCAAGGTCCGAGACGCTCGACTCACCAAAGGGCAACACAGACCGCCTGGTCTCAGTGGTCCCTGAGGGCCCACGCCGAGCTGCAGGAAAATAATGTCCCTCTCAAGACTATATATCAGAAGCGCACATTTGGGAGACCTACTGCACAATGAGGATCAATGCTGTAACACGGCCCTTAAATCAACCACTAGTTAATTGAAGTCACTATAAACCTTAAGACTAAAGCCCCCAAACGCTTGAATCCATAAATTCTTTGTCTACAAAGGAGGACATCCAGGATTCCTCAGGTATGTCCAGGGGTTGGGGGATCCAGAGCAAGAAAGGAAATCAAGGGCAGTTCCAGGCATCATATGTTCCTGAGTCACTTCCGGCTTCCAGCTCTTGCTTCCAGTGAGTTCTCAAACTACCTTCTTCCTTTTTTCTCCCTCTTACATCAAGTCCTCGTTTTTCACTGCATTGCCTTGCCCTGTCTGCCTTCACTCGGCACACACCCACCCAATCCTGGATTCCAGTCAAGTATTCCAGACTCAGGGACCATGTGTACAGCAGGATTTGGCCGAAGGTTTAGGGTGACCTGATGGTCACCTGATGGACCTGATGATTAGCAGGTGGTTCAAACACCTTAAACCTGAACCACCGACATTCCTATTCTTAAATAGCCCCACACCATCTCTGCACGAGACAATTTTCACTGGTCGTTGAGCTAATTTTTGCTTCATCCTCTCTCTTCTTTCATTCTCTTCCCCTCCGCTTCCTAGCTTGAGGCTCCCCTTCTTCCAATTTCCTGTCTATTCTTGCTAAATCAAAGCAATTTAACCACCAAATGAAGCCGCATTAATGCAGACCCACTACACTACATCCAAAAGACAAATCTCATGACTGAGCATATTCATTGTTCTAGGTGGTTATGAAATAAGGTACTCCAAAACTTAGTGGCTTACAAACAATCATTTGTTTTTAACTATAATGAAAAAGCTAAATAACAAAATCATTTGTTTCACTCATGAATCTGTAGTACGGGCAGGGTTTGGTATGGAAAGCTTGGCTCTGCTGCACATGGTAGCAGTCCAGGGACTCACATGACTGTCACATTAGTGCCAGCTGCCAGCTGGGCTCATCTGGGCCCAGGAGCAAAGGGCTTCTTCACTGAGGCCTCTCACTGCTTGGGCTTCCTCAAAACATGGTGGCTGGGCTCCAACAGTGAGTATCCCAAGAGACAGGAGGCAGATGCTGCCAGTTTCTTAAGGCTATTCCAGAAACAGACATAGCATCACTTTTACCATCACCATTTGACAAACACTCACAGAACCCAGATCCAATGGACAGGAACAGAAATCCCATCTCTCCATGGGTAGAGCACCAGAGAATTTGGGAACATGTTTAAAATCACCATACTCATTAAGGAGTTTTTTTGAAACAGATACTTTTAAAGAAGGAATTCTGAAGTCAGTTCTTAGATCAGCATAGGTTCAGTCTACAAAAAAAATCTAGACTGAGAATAGTCTGTATGGTTTGTTGGGCATGCTTTTCTGTGTGTCAGGCAATATGTTGGATTCTGGTAGGGAAGAAATCACTGTTGTACTTCCAATGTGGAGGGAATCAATTTTCTTCAGGAAAGAATGAATGGCTACTCTATGCCAGGTGCTCTGGTTCATGGAGAGGCTAGGGTTTCAGGAAGCCTTTCAATATGATGAGAATGCCTGACATGCTGGTTGAGCTATCTGGTATGAGCCTGGCCAAAGGCAGAGAGGTTTAAAGAGGACACTGTCTTAACACCCACAAAGAAGAAGTTCATGTCCATGACCCAGCATAAGGTGGCTGGGGAGAAAAGAGGGCTAGGTGTGAACAGAACCAGGAAAACTAGAAAATGGCAAGAGACTGGAAGCGAAGAAACTGTTTAGTTGGGAAGGGGTCAGGGGCACTACTGGAGGGTTATGAGAGGAGGCGTATGGGGAGAGGTAGCAGTTCAAAGCCATTTGATAGGAAGTTCATCCAACAGAGATAGTGTGAAAAGATAGCAAAAAACATAGCTAAAATTAAGATTTTTTTTCTGCCCCTTGAAGTTGTAACCTTGTCAAAAGTTGTAACCTCTACTCATCCCTTGAGTAGAGTCTTCGCCAAAGACTTATATACCTTCAGTACTACTGAATGGAGAGTAAGAACAGGTTTATTCAAGCCAGAGATACCTAGGTTCAAACCCACTTCTACCACTTGCCATTGAGTTACTATGAAGCAACAGTAATCAAGACAGTGTGGTACTGGCATGAGGATAGACATATAGATTAATGGAATAAAACTGACAGTCTGGAAAGGAGCCAATGAATTCTCAACAAGGATGCCAAAACAATTCAATAGGGAAAAAAATAACCTTTTCAACAATCACTGTAGGGACACTTGAATACCAATACACAAAGGAACAGATTTCAACTCCCTACTACATACTATATACAAAAATTTACTAAAATGGATCAGACACCTAAATTTAGCTCTTAAGCTAAAACTATAAAACTCTAAGAAGAAAACATAGGAGTAAATCTTTCTGAGCGTGGATTTGCCAATGGTTTCTTAGATATGACACCAAAAGTACAAACAAAAAAAGGAAAAATAGATAAATTGAAATTGACCAAAATGATACACTCTTGTACTTCAAAGGATACTATCAAGAAAGTAAAAAGACAACCCACAGAAAGAGACAAAATATTTGCAAATTATGTATGTGAAGAGAGGCTTATACCTAAAGTACATAAATAGCTCTTACAACAGAATAATAAAAGGGCAAATAACTCAATTTTTAAAAGAACAAAGTATTTGAAGTTATACAAATGGCTAAATAAGCACATTGAAAGATGCTCAACATTATTAGTCATTAGGGAAACACAAATCAAAACCATAATGAAATACCATTTCATACCCACTAAGATGGCTATAATCAAAAAGAAGGATATTAATAAGTGTTGGTGAGGATGTGGTAATATCAGAACCCTCATACACTGCTGGTGGGAATGTAAAATTATTCAGTCACTTTTGAAAACAGTCTAGTAGTCTCAAAAAGTTTAACATAGAGTTACCATTTGATGAGCAATGCTACTCCTAAGTCTACACATCCAAGATAAATGAAAACATATGCCCATTCCAAAATTTGTACACAAATGTCTGTGGCAGGATTATTCATAGTATCCAAAAGATGGAAACAAACCAAGGGTCCATTAACTAACGAATGGAAAAACAAATGGCGTATTCATAGAGTAGAATATTATTTTACCATAGAAAAGAATGAAGTGCTGATACATGCTACAGCATGGATGTTACAGCATGGATGAACTTGAAAACAATGGTAAGTGAAAGAAGCCAGTTGCAAAAGACCATAAATTAATAGTATATATGGTTCTGTTTATATGAGGTGACTATAATAAATATGTAGAGACAGAAAGTAGGTTACTGATTTCCTAGGGCTGGGCAATGGAGAGATTGAAGGTAATAGCTAAAGGGTACAGGTATTCCAAAAGGTACTCCCTTTTTGAAATAATCGATATGTTCTAAGATTGATTATGGTGATGATTGTACAATGCTGAGAATGTACTAAAAATGCTGAATTCTATAAGGGAGTGAATTATACAATGTATAAATTGTATCTCAATAAAGCTATTATCAAAAAACGTACTTTGACTTTGTAAATTCAGGCCTGCCTCTAGGAATGAAATGCTCTTCAGGAAGGAAGGGGCACTTGGCAGAGAAAAACATGGAATTCTATGAGAGGGCAAGGGCTTCTGGTACCACAAGAGACAGGGACAGAACACCACAGAGCAGGGGCAGCGACTCTCAGGACTCTGAATAGAACTTAACGCTCAGTTGCTGCTGTCCTGTGTCTGACATTTCCATAGAATACTGTCTGTATTCTTTGAGCAGCAAATCTTTAAAACCAAAATGATCTCAGAAATACAGTACAGTGAGTTCAGAGAGCAGATTCTGGGGTGAGACTACTTATGCTTGAGTTTATGTCTACCATTTTGTAAGCCATTCAACTTCTTCTGTGCCTCAGTTTCTCCATCTATTGTATCCTTCAATACAGCGGCCCCTAGCCACATGTGTCTACTGAACACTGGAAATGTGGCTAATCCAAACTGAGATGTGTTGCAAATGTTGGAATACATGTCACATCTCGAAGACCTAATCCTCCCCCTAAAAGTAAAATATCCCATTCATAATTTTTATATTAATATTAATTACATGTTGATATGATAATACTTGGGATACATTGAGTTAAATAAAATATATTGCTAACGTTCATTTTGCCTGTTCCCATTTACTTTTTTAAAATTACTTATGTGGCTCTCATCATACTTCTCTTGGAGAGTGCTGGTCTGTAACTTGGTAGTAACAGTGCTAGCTATGAAATATGGTTGTTGTGAGGATTAAATGAGTTGATTTATGTAAAATGCTTTAAAATACCCGGCATACGATAAGCACGAAGTATTAGCCTTAGCACCTCTTTGAGGGTGGTCGGGTCAGAGCAGCAGCGAGTGACTCCTGGCCGCAGCACTGCGACGTGAGACAGGGAAGGACAGTCACTCGTCACAGAGGGAAGGAGCCAGCTGAACCCTCAAGGCTCGCGGGAGGGGCTGGCCCCGCAGCGCTGCAGATCCACAAGAGGACCCGCGGCTGCCAGCATCCTCTCTGCAGGTGTAAAGCCTGTCTGGGAGTCGCATTTATAACAGCGAAGTGGTTGAAGCCAGCCCACTGCAGATGAGATGTAAAGTTATTTTTCTGGCTCCAATATCTTACCGTTTCCAAATATGGAACATCGCTCCATCCCTCTTAAATGTCTACGTCGTTGATCTAAAAAGGAGCTGCTGTTTGTTCCGTGCTTCTGGTTTCTTCCTTCTTTGGAGCGTGCCAGGGCTGCCCTGGCTGTGTGCTCTCCGTGGGGGGCAGAGAGCCGCTCAGCAGCCAGAAAGGCGGTGGGAACCAGCAAACACTAACGTTCAGGCCACCCCAGTCATCGTTGTCGTGTAATGATTATTTTGCATTTCACAAAGGCAGCTGCGATTTGTCAAACCTCACAGGGCTGAGATTGCTTTGGCTCACTACGTCTTCAGCCTAGTGCCCTCCCCTCCCCTGATTTTCCTAAGCACCGGTGTCTTTATGGCGTGCTTCCCTCTAAGGCCACCGCCACCGCCCGCCACGCCCACGCACCTTGTTGGCTTTCATTTTTTTTTTTGAGACAGAGTCTCACTCTGTTGCCCAGGCCAGAGTGCCATGTCGTCAGCCTAGCTCACAGCAACCTCTAACTCCTGGGCTCAAGCGATCCTCCTGCCTCAGCCTCCCAAGTAACTGGGACTACAGGCATGCGCCACCATGCCCGGCTAATTTTAAGTTGTCCAGCTAATTTCTTTCTATTTTTAGTAGAAATGGGGTCTCGCTCTTGCTCAGCCTGGTCTTGAACTCCTGACCTTGAGGGATCCACCCGCCTTGGCCTCCCAGAGTGCTAGGATTACAGGCGTGAGCCACTGCACCCGGCTGGGTTTTTCCTTCCTTTTCAGTAACTTAATAATGAGGGTGACAGTCCAGAGCCTTATGAAAATTTGGGTCATAGCTGTGTATGTGTTGAGGCTCAGAAAGAGGCAGGAACAGAAATATGCGGTGTTTGAAGTAATGAATGACAAAGGAATTCAGTAAGATTTCCACATATTTATTTCATCACACTTCATTTTCAATTTATAACCACCAGTGGGCTAGCTAAACTCCCATCTTATGTGGGCATGTGTCTGATGGACAAATGAGCACCTGCCATTTATTTTGAGTTTATCACAATAGACACATCTGTTTTTATTAATAAATATTTGCAAACGTTCAACATGGCTCTTTTAATTCATACAAATTTCAAGACATTCTGTTACTGATTTCATAGTTTGGAAATCCAAATCCACTGGTTTCTCGAGGCAATGTTCTCTCGATCATTCTAGCTACTGTGCAGAGCGCAGTCGAATGGACTGGGTCTTCCACCACAAAATAAGCGAGGCAGAGACAAAATGACGACTATAAGAGGATGTCCCTAAAAAGGACAGTGTACCACATTACAGTCCCAAAAAGACACAACACAAGAAAAATCAAATGGAGTCTATAAATTTAATTTTTCTGATTCCTATGTGCTAAGTTCAATATTTTTTTGCAGGGCTGGAAATAGAGGCCTGAATGGCTCCCAAGCAACCTCATGCATGGTCAGCAGAAAGATGGGGCGGTGTGCTTTCAATATGTGTGCCTTCTACCTTAGTGCTTAATAAAACTAACAATAACGGAAGACGTAAATATTACTTCTTGGGGCTGGCTAACAAAAGTCTCGTCCCCTGACCCCCAGAACCCAAATTCTGCCCCCATAAAAAAAAAGCAAAAGAAAAAAGTGGCCTGTTTTTTTCTGATTAGGTGACAGGTTTGGTTTTCTTGCCATGTTCAGAGTCCTATCAAGGGCTTCATCTACATCGAAAATTGTAGAAACAAAATTGGGTTCTCCCGAGTGTGTGTGGTTTTGTTTTTGTTTTCAACAAACACTGGTTTCCTCTTGGAGCAGAAGCATTCTCACTGTGCCAAGCGGGATTTGAGACAGGCACAGGAACACTAAGAATGTTGAAGGTGTCACTTGGCGACTCAAAGTGACCCTGTGAGTGGTGTACCGGGTAGCCCCCAATTTGATCGATCGAAGTTTTCCATAACTTTTTACAAAAATCTTAAATACAGGTAAATATGTAAACACTGTGCTCCCGGAGAGCAGGTACTTAGGCATGTCACATCGTCACGGCGCATCCCTTTGGGGAGACAAACCCCAGTGAAATGTCGCCGGTCGGTTTCAGAACCATCCACTGGACGAGCTCTCGGGCTGAGGGGCAAACACCACTTTGCACATCTCAGAGTTCTCTTGGTGGAGCGGGAATTCGCATCCTGGTACTAGGTGCTCTTTTCTTTTCCGGGAGACGTAACCTCTACCTGTGGACAGCCTTTCGTACTTTGTCTCCAGTTGCCTGCACGACAACACAACAACAACAAAATTACACCCAAGTCCCCTCACACCTGTCCCAGCCAAGTCACTGAATGTCCACTGGAAACTTCTGCTCCACAGCCATTTGAGATAGGACATGCATAACAGAGACCCACGGATGGAGTCATTTTCTTCTTCCTGTTTCTTTTTATATCAACAGATATACTTCAAATGCCTGGGATGTGGGAATCCTGCCATACATTTTTCTGGAAGGAAGGACTAAATTCCTTTTAGCTCTTTGGAGATGCTGTTGAGCTTTGCAGGCCATGCTACGCCTCCCACCCTCGTTCCAGAAGCCCCGCCTTGGGAGCACTCGCCTTTTGAGGACTAGCAAGTCCAGCTGGATTTCAGCTAAGAATGCCGACAGGGAAATATTCCAAGAGCTCTAGCCCAATGGAATGTGGAACCAAACCAGTTACCCACACGGCTCAGTGGGAAGGTTGATTGTTTTCAACCACTGAAAGGTTAATTTTTTTTTTTTATTTATGGAGGTTTATTCTAGACATAAGTTAATGTAAGTGAGTGGTGGCTTAATATCCCAACTATTAAATCACAATCCTTTATTCTGTGAAAATATTACCTACTTATATGTGTGCTTATATCATTGATGTATTTTTGTGTTTTTTTTTTGTTTTGTTTTGTTTTGTTTTTTGAGACAGAGTCTCACTTTGTTGCCCAGGCTAGAGTGAGTGCCGTGGCATCAGCCTAGCTCACAGCAACCTCAATCTCCTGGGCTCAAGCGATCCTCCTGCCTCAGCCTCCCGAGTAGCTGGGACTACAGGCATGCGCCACCATGCCCGGCCAATTTTTTGTATATATATTTTTAGTTGGTCAATTAATTTCTTTCTATTTTTGGTAGAGACGGGGTCTCGCTCAGGCTGGTTTCGAACTCCTTACCTTGAGCAATCCGCCCGCCTCGGCCTCCCAAAGTGCTAGGATTACAGGCGTGAGCCACCGCGCCCGGCCTTATTGATGTATTTTTTACATGAACTGTGAAATGTCAGTAAAATAAAGAAGGCGCTCAACTCTGGTGTGCTTTGAAAGGAGATGATGTAAGATGCGCTTGCTCTGTTAAGTACACAGATGACCCTCATGGTCAGTGCATGTCAACTGCTGGGGGGGGGGTCTGTGCTAGCGTCTAGACGCACAGCATTCCGGCTCCATGTGATGGCGCTCTCACAAACAGTGGTTATTAAGATTCATAAGATTTAAAGGACACGGCATGAATGAGAGTTAGGCTCTGGAGTGGAAGAGAGGTTGGGAAAGTTACACAGGTAATTATATATTTATGTTTTAAGACACTAAGTATTCTACTGAAAGCATTTACAAAAAACAATTCCAAACACTCAAGCTTAAGCCAAAACTTAAACAAGGTCGAGCTGCTGTTGCATGGAATACCTAAGACGGTGACTTCATTTCAGCCCTTAAACCATAGTAAATGAATTGCCACGTGTCTTACTTTGAACTTTCTGTCCAGAAGACAATGGTGAAGGCACCTGACAGTGCGTGCAAATCTGGCACTTTTGCTGAAACTATGTGGCAACTCCTACAGCAAATCATCACTCTTTGTTTCCTTGTTGATTCTTTCTGCGTTAGAATATGATGCCACCTCTAGAATAAAATGAGCTAGTCATTAGCGTTTTTTGGTATCCTAGAAACTGGTATGTTTTTGGCCTTATCAATTATTCTTTTACTTATTTAAAGACAATTCACCTTTTACTGGGTTTCTACTGTTTTCATTCTGAAACTGAGCGTTCTAAAGTGCATGCAAGTTCCTCGTGAACTCGGGATGGCCCAGGGATGGCCCGGGCGCGTCCCCGACCGCTGCTTCTCACCTGAACGGGGCGGCGTCCCTGTCCATCTGCATGCAGATCAGGAACGGGTACTGCGAGAACTGCACGGTGGAGATGAACTCCAGGCCTGCTTCCGTCTCCGCGCTGGCCTCCAGGCCGGCTTTCACAAAGGATGAGTCCACTGTGACGTCACCGGTTATCACCACGGTCACCCTGAAGAGTGGAGGAACAAAGCTTTGCATGTCGTGGTTACCTGAGTTGCGCCACACTGCTGTGGTTTCACAGGGTCTGAAATTGTGATGCTGATGATTGCAAGGAAACATTGAGAGGACTGAGAGGTGACCCGAAATGCTTGGAGCCTGGACGGTCCCGCAGACTGGGCAGTGACGGCTCGTTGACCCTTCCCCGGAGCCCTCCCTGCCTCCAACTCTTAATATGGGAACAAAATGTCCACCAGCCACGGCACTGTTTTGCATGGGCATACCAAAGACCAGATACATTTTGAAAAGTCAGAATGTTAAACAATTTCCCAAACATCTCTCTGCAGTTGTTTGCATAGAGGAGTATACATACTGTGCTTACCGATTTTTCACTCGGGTCTTAGACTCACGATACCACAGACTGAACTCCATTGCACCCGCGATATCAATAGATAGACCACCCTGGACCTCGATGTTGGCCTTCATTCCAGATTGCAACTGAAGCTCCTAGAAGCAAAAGCATAATAATAATAGTAATAAAAATAATTAGTGCAATTTAGTTACCCCCCACTTTCCAAAGGCGCATTCAACCGCCCTCTGCAGACAATGCCATTTGAGTTGTGTTGATGCTGGAGTCTTTCTCTAGGCTTGGAAACATGTTGTCCTAATCCTTTTTTTAAAAAAATCATTCTATTTTTTGTAGGGATGGGGTTTTGCCGTGTTTCCAAGGCTGGTCCTCCTGGCTTGGCCTCCCAAAGAACCCGGATTATAGTCTAGATCGCTGGAAAGAGACTCTGCTGATTTGCTAAATTAGTCAATTAAAATACTAGAGTAATGAAGTGCTAATCAAGAAAGGTGTTTTCAGTCCATCATTGCCTCCCTTTGGGAGGGAAAATGTTTCTCAAAGTGTGTTCCCGTGAGGAGCAGCATCCACCTGGAACTTGCTAGAAATTCAGATTCTCGGGTCCCCCTTATACCTACTGAATCAGAAACTCTCAGGGTGAGGTCTAGCAATCCATGTTGTAACAAGCCCTCATGTGATTCTGATGCACCTAAATTTGAGGACCACTGGACTAGGGAAAATGAAGACATCTCCCTCAAAATCTAGCTGTGGCCTTTTCATGGCTGGGGGAGGTTTGGACTGGGTGATCTCTTGAGATTCTTCAGCATTTCTCTAGTTACTTGTTGTGTCACATATAGCCAGCTGCATCCTCTGGCAAATAAAAGGCAGGATTAAAAACTCCCAGCGCAGTATCTGAGAGGGATGCGTTATAGGACCAACTCCCCCAAACTCTCCTCTTCTAACGACACCAAAATGCAAAGGTATGCAAGTCCTTTATATAAAATGGCAGAATATAATATTTGCATATAACCTACACATCCTCCTGTAGACGTTAAATCATCACTAGATTACTTATAATACCTAATACAACGTAAAATGCTACGTAAATAGTTGTACATATACTCCATTTTAAAAATTTGTATTAATTTTTATTGTTATATTGTTATATTTTATTGCATTTTTTTAAACAAAAAATATTTCTGATCCACAGTTGGTTGAATTCAACGTGGAACCAGGAGATATGGAGAGATAACTGTATACATGTTCCAAGAACGGCCTAGATCAAACTAGAAAGGAAGGCCAGGCAATTGAACTAAGCCTTCATACCCACGCTGCTTGCCGTTTGAAATGGCATTAAATTAACAGTGAAGTCCAACATGAACTCAATAGCATTTTTCAGAGCAATAGTATCATTTACTAATGTAGTCTATCCTGAGCAATTTTGTGGTTATCTGAAAACCATTTTTTTGTGTGTGCTTCTTGCCTGCATTTAGGCATTTTCAGCCTGCATTTTTCATGTACATTAGCTGGGGTGATGTTGGCAGAGAACTTTTTCAGCTGGATTGGAATCAGATTGCCTGGGGACCGTGTTGGAAGCGATGATAGTTCTGGGATAAAGGCTCAGTATTCTTAATGTTGATATTCCTCCAAAGATGTTAAATTCCTGGCACCTGGCAGCATAACTGACTTCTTTACGTAACTACCCTCCTCAGAACCAAACAAACCCTGCAACTGCCAACCATAAATGCCTTGAGTTCACTTTCTAGAAAGGATCATGTTGATTTGCCTGAATTCCCTCCACTTTCTAAAAACATGTCACAGGAAATCTCGGACAAGGGGCTTGGTTTAAGACCAGGTGCACCGAAGAAGTAGGACTGTGGCACGAAGCCACTTCCGTCTGGAGGACACTCATAGGTGGAAGCACCACACTCTAGTGCCATGCTCGGGGCACCGTAGAAGTTGCCCCAAGGATACTGAAGACTGCCTTCAGCTTAAAACAAAATGTTCTAATACCCTACTCGGCAAATATTCTACTTTTTTATTGCTATGCTTTTTTTTTTTTTTAAACTTTGGCATTTTTATTCAGACGTGTATAAAAACAAAACAAAAACTTCAATGATACATCAATCAATTGATTGATAAATCAATTCATCAAAGAAAATGATTTTAATCATCAAACATTCAAACTCAAAGGTTATTCAGATTAGCCATCTTCTGCTTATCAGAAAATCCAGTTAGGCAGACCACCTCCATGCCATAGTATCTTGGTCACTTAACTCTTATATTGTCAGTCTTTTGTGCAATATTGTCAGATTTGGGGCCAAGGAAAGTTGCAAACTATTTTGAAGAATGCAGTTCAAGTGAACGGAAGAACTCTTATTCTCTAAGAATGAAAAAGAGTTTATAAACATGAGAATTTGGGGCAAAGGGTCTCCACAAAAGATGTGGCTGGTGTCAGTGGCTGCTTGTGCCTCTGCTAATTTGGGAGGGTCCCAGTGACACACTACGTGGATCTTCATTACTGTCATCATTGCAAATGTCGTCAGTAACTTGTGAAGCCTTCAGGACAAATATTGTCTAAACTCTTGTGCCCAAGAGAGGAGACAACGCTATTTCTGCTCAGCTGTATGCTAGGCTTTCTCCGCCGTTTCTTGTTTCTATTAGTGTCAATATTTTCTCCTTGCCTCCAAGTAAAGAGACCTCTTAATCAGCTAATAAATGCAAATGAAGATGCAACATATCTACAGTGAAGGAGAAAGGGCAACAGTGCCACGAGGGCCAAGTGCTCAGAATGTGAGCTCCGAGATGGGCAGAACTTTGTCTCACATCCTCCAAGTCCACAGCACATTGGGAAAGCGACTGGCATATGTCAGGGACTCGGTAAACACTTACAGACTGAACGAATTACCTGAGAATGATCTATTAGCAGGATGAGCCCTTTCACCACGCTGATGGGGTCGCCAGATACAGACAGCATTTTGGACATCAAGTCACTGTATCCGTTGAAAAAGGTGACAGGTCTGAGCTGGACATCAAAGAGGATGGCTGACATGCCGGCAAAGGAGTTGAGGTTCTCCTCCCCCTCGTCGGGAGTGGCTGCAATTGAGGCCTCCAGTCCTTGGGCTTCAATGACCACCTGGGGAAATTGAGGAAACATTCTGTGACACAGCTCCCTGCCTGCTCTGCGAGGGAGCACGAGGCTTCCCAGTGACAGCTAGGACTTCTCCGGGGGCCGAAAGCTCAAATATCTGCAACAGCTGGGCAAGAATAAATACAAAAATAAAAGCCCTCTATGCCTGATATAAGATGAGTTACTTCCTTCATTTAACCCTCACAACCACATTGTGAGGTACACAATGTTTTGAGGTACAGGTTTTTACCTATTTTGTAGATAAGGCAAAAAAAAAAAAAAAGGCTCAAGTTTACCCAGCTAATAAATGGCAGAGTCAGGATTCAAACCTTCTGACTACAAAGGCCATGAATTTCCCATCTTATGATGGCATTCTAGAGACTCTTAGTCTCTCCAGCACTGTCCTATTTTATATAACGGTCAGCTATCTTGTAGAGCCTCTAAAAGGAGGTGGAGAGATGTTGGCACAGCCATCCCAAGGCCACTGCTAGAGGAGGACATAGTACTCTCCAAGCCACGACTCACACCATCCCATGTCAAATCGTTCTCTAGCCAAAAAACAAAAAAAAAAAAGTCATGAATACCACGAAGGGTTCTCATGCCCTGATTTCTCCATACACAGGAATCCTACATATTTTCTGTCCCTCATACCCAGCTCCTCAAGCCCTGGGTGTCTGGCATTTCCAAGTGTTCATCAGAAAGCAGAAGGTAATTCCTCAGGGCAGAAGGGCATAGTGTTCCGACTATAGTACTATCAAGGGGTGTAGTAATATGATATTGATAAGAACTCAAGTTTTTACAGCACTGGATCATTTTTAAACCTTAAATGACTTTATTTACAAGGTTATCATTTGATATGCATAAGACCTACAAAGAAAGTGTGTCATAATTAGAAAGACTTTATAGATCATCACCAGTTTTTGCCTAAAACTAAAGGGATGAAAGTCAGCTAGTTTTCAAATGTCTACAATTTATTCTTTTGTCTCCTGGCAGTATTGGAAAAATATAGATAGACTCTTTACAGAGCCATATTCTATTATGAAGGGTTTATTATGGGGAATCAATCTCTTCATAGAAACACCCAGAAAAGGAAAACATATTCTAGAATTAAATACTTGCTGGGGGGGCGGGGGGACGGTGGTGCTAAGGAATATATCTGTGAACACAAATGAAATATTATTAAAAATGTCCATGTGAGAAATCCTGGCACAATTTCCATTTTGTAAATACGTGTCCCTTTGAAAAGACGAATGGATGCTTGGCAAGTCCAGTGAGTCCGATCACTCGGGTGTCCAGTTCATATCTGAAACTTTCTGGGGGACCACAAACCACACAGCCTCTCACAGGTGACGGGGTCGTGGGCACAGTGCGACAGACACCACCGCTGACGTGTACGCTGTATGGCGTTACCAACACTACGTATTTTACTTCACCTCAGACCTCACGTCACTTACTAAGCAGCCTGCGTGGCCGGAGCGTTACCTGGCTGCCGTGCAGGCTGGCTTGCCGACGTGCTGGAAGATGTTGAGGTTGCTCCTCCTCAGGATGCCGGAGCCGGAGTAAAGGATGTCCAGGCTGTAGGTAGACGCCGAATGGGGCTGACCTGGCGGCAGAGAACACAACCGCGGCTTAGCCACCGTCCCGGCGGCGCGGGGCTGGGGACACGCGGCAGGGACGGCCGGCTGGGCCTTACGCACGTTGGATGTAGCCGGTATAGGCAGAGGACGATCCAGTCCCGGAAAACCGGTCATAGTTGTGAGCCACCATTTCCTTCAGAACCCGGCGGACCATTTTGCTGCAACAAGGAAAAAGAAAATTCTGCACATTCGTGGTGGTGGCTGTTTCCCAAGATACATTTGGAGGAAACAAATCATCCTCAGTGGAAAAAAGAAGCAGCCAAGTTTTCCTCAGGCCGCCCCAAGGCCGCCAGGGGAGGTGGCAGCTGGCCTGTCAGCGTCAGGATCAGGGCCAGCCCTTCATTACCCAGATATTTGACATTTAGTTTGAGAAGAAAATGACAGCCAGGCAAGGATGCCCCGCTTGAGGCGGCTTAGGCCTGCTGGTGGGGACACACCTCGGGGGTGGAAGGAGCACGTTCTCTGAGCCACCACGGTTCTGTCGTTAAGTTGCACGTACATTTGAGCAAAGCTGTACCAAGCTGGGAAGATTGTACAATATTTCTTTAAATGGTTTTCCACACCCTCTAATGTTCTCAGTGGCCAATGATCTATAACAGTAAATTTACAATATTTATTTTATATGTGTTGTTTTCGATTATGAAGAGCTCAGTAAAACCCATAAAGGAACCATTGTTTTCTGTGAAGTAACTCTTAATCCTTACTCTGTGCCTCTGTCTCGGCTAGGTAATTAGCGTTGAGATCTTTCCATTTCTGATAACATGACAGGAATAATAATCATATCAGCAATAATAAAATCATGACAATGTGGCAAAACATCCAAATCATCAACTAAAGAAACCTGGACCTAGGTCTGAGGTAGAAAATTGCTGGGAGGACAGGATACTAACCTTACAGGTTTCCCTCCCAATATCACTAGGTTATATGGTTCTAGCCAAGAGAGGAAAAGATGAGGAGGGTCATGACACCTGTCTAAAATCCTAAGGGGGCTTCCTATGGATGAATGGCTAGACATGTTCTGCTTTGCTCCAAGGACAAACCCAGAGCCAATAGGCAGACTCCAGTTTATGCAAAGATGTAACAGTGAGAGTCTCTGGACACTGCTGGCACACTGGCTCTTGCAGGTGGTGATCTTCCTGCCACTGACGGGCAGGCACAGTCTGGACACCACCTGCCAGGAGACCAGACCCTACCCGGGAGAGACACCAAGCAAGATGGCCCTTGGTGTCCCTCCCCACTCTGACATTTTTGATTCTGAGACTCTGACCGTAATGTTGGTGGCAGCTTCCTCAGGTTTCCCAAGCTGCTCGATACCCTACTGTCTCCTCTTGCCTGTTCCCCAAATTGCTGCTTTCACAAGACAAAGGCAGCAAGAACACCCAAGATCCCCGCCACGGTCTTATAAAAGCAAACAAAGGAGCAGAACGGGAAGCCAACATTCAACCTGGACCACGTGGTTGCAGTGGGCGTGGCTTCTCCCTCACTGGCTCACCCGCTCCCTTCCTCTTTGCTGCATGCCCTGCTCTTTCTCTGTGCTGCTCCCTCCCCCGTTTCTTATTTCATCAGCCTTCTTGGCCCTTGTTTCTCTTTCCATCAGCCTTTTACTGTCCTCTTTTTTCATTTTTTTCTCTTTATTTTCCACCCTTCTGACCTCTTTTTAACTTTTTCTGGGAGGAATGCTCAAATATGATCTTTCCTGGGAGTAGGTTCTGCATGGAACTCGGGGAAACAGAAGTTCTTTCTCTGACCCTCTGATTCCAGCGAAGAAGAGCTTTGGGGGGGCCACTCTGAAGAGCGACATCAGGGAATCTGGCAGGTGAGACTTGGGAACCGGAAGGAAGTTAACCCAGCAAGAGTGACTGAGAGAAGAAGTCTGCTGAGCGCACCCTTCAGATCTTGAATAGTCCTAAAATGCAGGCCACACCTGAAGTTTTGACTTAAATTTCAAATTCATTGATTGTGATAAATGAGGTTTCAAAGATCCCCAGCACTTGGAACATTAACATGAAATACCATTTGGAAAGAACTTATATCATTTTGTTGTGCTACTTATAAAAATAGTCCTGTTGAAAGTGCAATTAGATTTTAAAACATTTGGTGCTATATATTTACCAGACTGAACAGGACACCCAGAGTAAAAATCACACCCATAGTTCCAAATCATAGTGCCAAGAGGAAGTTGTTTTATCTGGCTCACAAAACAGCTTTTTTTGTGAGAACTTCGGCACTCTTTGGTTTTATGCAACATAATCCGGAGTAATGAACACATCATTATCATTAGCTACGTGTGTAGCACGTCAATATACAAATAAACTTGAATCAGCAGAAAGACATGTGCAATGTATTAAATATTATACCTTGCAGGCATTTCAAAGCGTAAGATGTCTTGAACAAGGGCGAGCATGTATTTATTCATTTCTTTGGGCAGCTCCCCAATAGAAAGCAGGATGTTTTTCACGTCCATGTAAGATGGATTGTTATTTAAAATGACAGCAGCTGCAGTGGTACGCACGGTCTTCTCATGAATTTTACGATTCTGGTGGTATATCCTGTTCAAGGTCTTCTTCACCTGTTTGCAAGATGTTCAAACTTAGTGCACAACTTAGATTCTTAAAATTGACATTGTAGCAGGAATAGCAAGTGTTCATAAAAATACACATGTGTTATTACATTTCCCAGGTTGCTTTGCAATTAAGTTGAGGCCATACGACTACTTCCTGCTAATGGACCCCGAACAGAATTGACGGGGATCACTTCTAGGCTGGGCCAGTTATGAGCTGGGGTGCTCTCTCCATCTCTGTATTCTGTGACTGCACTAAACTTAGGGCCACATATTCCCTTACCCACGTTAGGCAGAGCACGGCAAAGATTTATGACGAACTGCTGAGCTGTTGCGGTGTGTTCATCATTGCAGCATGGCCTGGTGTCACTTAGTAACTAATATGGAACTTTAAGGATATTGCCATTACGTGGCAATGGGATCTCGGGAGAGATGGCTACATGAACTGATATTTCCTTACAACGAAGTACCTCAGAATCTTACCTTCTTTTTTTTTTTTAATTAAAAGAGTTTTCTTAAGAGCAGTTTTAGGTCCACCGCCAAATTGAGAGGACAGTACAGAGATTTCCTGTGCACCCCATATTCCCAGACATGCACAACCTGCCCCAGTACCACCATTCTGCACCGCAGTGGTACATCTGTTACCTTTGATGAACCTACTTGACCCATCATTGTTGCCCAAAGTCCACAGGTTACCTTCGGATCTTTTTATTCTTAACAAACCGTTAACATCAAAGAGAATGTCCCAAAATAATTGCATTCGGTTGCAACAAATAATTTCATTGGCTAGTAGCTTCGCCTAACAATATGCAACGTGTAGGGATCTATATACTAGGCACTTATAAATATTTCTTTAAGTTCCACTTTCCTATGCCTTTTTCTGTCTACCTTAAATCATGGCGTTGCTTGTAGGGGTGTAGGAGTTGAGCTACTCACCCAAGAACAAACTCGGAAAGGACACAGCCAGAGTTTATGCATAGGTCTGTCTTTCTCAAAAGACCTTTCTCAAAAGACAGACTGTACCCCTAACTCACATGGTTTCCAGCCACCAACTTCAACACAAAACTGGTAGGAAGGTGCTCAGCTGCAAACTGGAAACACCATTCTCAGCAACAGTTTATCCCAAGGTTTATAAACATCCCCTGCCCTAATAAAAGTTTAATTTAGATGGCTTCCTGAAAATTTAATTGTAAGAACAAACAAGGTCATATTTAAGAGAGGATATTTCAGTGCTGAAAAATGTAACAGCATATTAAAACTTACACAAGTAAAGATTTTATGAAAAGGATTTGTCACTGAAAATCAGAGAATATGCTTCAATATTTAATGCTTCAGGATATACGATGTTATCAATTCAAAAATGGGAGGCTGTGTTAGAATAGCCTTAAATGCAATTTAAGAGTCATTTCTAAACAGGAGAGAGAGAGACTGGGAAAAAATAGAGCGACCTGAGAGGAGGTTGCATTTGGCTCATGTTCAGTTGTGCTTTTTTCCTCCTGTTAATGTTGCAAACATGCATGGGGATTTTTGTTTACCTCATCAGTTATGAAAGGGACGTCGTATCTCTGGAGAGCGGTGGTAGCAAGGTGGCTGACGGGCCCTTCTCCGGCTTCTGCATACTTCAGAAGAAGGGGGATGCCTTCTGGAAGCAGGGCATTCTTCAGAGCCAGCAGGTACATCGTGGTGTCCTCTTTCTTCTCTGTTTTTTCTAGTCCTCCCAAGATTAACTTCTTAGCTTCAACCACTGCCTAGAAGATCACAGACCTTAGACGTATGCATGACCATACATAAAATAAGACTTGGGCAAGGTTGGCTGTATTCTTGAGTCCAAGAAAACAATCTAAAGTTGTAGAAAGTTTTGCATTGGTTGCCTGAGGTACACAATGAAATAAAAGCAAACAAGTAAAGCTTGATAAAGATGTTGTGTTTTTTTAAAAAAAATACATATATTAGCACATTCTTAAGAAGCAATGAGTACCATTGATAACGGGCATATTTACTTCGGAACACATTCTAAATGTATACAGCCACTTTTTAATTCCCTTGTGATTGATTATTCAAGAAACTGACTGTGTCCTGGCGGAGTGGCCAAAAAAAAAAAAGAAAAAAAGAAAGAAAGAAACTGCCCGTTCACTCAATTTCTAAAGCGACAATTAGATGGAGCCCTGGCATCACTGCACACCTTTTCTTAAGTGACAACGTGGGGGAAAGCCCTTGGAGCCTGGTCATAAGGTCTAGCCTTTTCAGACATTGTTGTATTTCCCCTAGCATGTCCTTCATTCCATACCATCATCTCATCACCTAAAAAGCTCTTCTAGATTAAGCTCAAATATTACTATTTTGGTGAAACCTTCCCCAGCACTTTCAAACAGAAAAAGTTGCAGCACCTTCTGTAGAGCACTTAGTTTATATTTCAATATTATTTACCTGTTTATATTTAATAAACAGACTAGGAGTTCTTTGAGGATGGTAGAATAGTTTATGCCTCTTTATATTAAACGATTAGCATCATGCCTAGCACAGAGTAGATACTCATGAATCTGAGTGGATCTTTTATATATGGGTTTTGTCTTTAGCCAAGATATTTAATATGTGAAATTCTGGAGTAAATCAGCTACTCAAATAATTATGGAAATTGAAAAATATAAGAAGTATGGTTCTCTAATATAAAAATAAAACTTAATTTTATTTCTGCCAGAATTTAATAAGCTGATATTAAATGTTAAGGCCACTGTTTTTTAGTAATCTTTTTCATACTTAATGTATATCCCAGTTATGGCTTGCCTCTTTTGGAACTATTTGGTTTCAAGAATGTTTTCCCTATTGTTTTTAATTGCAAGCACTTACTTAGTAAGCACAATAATATAGTGATGTCTTTCTGAGGTAGAAAAAATTGCTGACTGGAAACTGGCTATATAATAAACATGGACAGAACAAAGACTATTTTTTTATATACTTAGTATCTTTAATCTATTTGCATTATAGAATGATGGGCTGTTTTAGATATTAATTGATTTAGATTTTCTGGATTTAGTTATGCTTACAAAGTGAGTGTTTTTGCTTTTTTCTTTTTAATGAGAAAGATGTAAAAATTGACAGTCCACTCAGGCAAGTAGAGAAGCTTCGAGAAAATGAAATTAAAATGAAAATATAAAGTTCTAAATGGTTAGAAGTAACTCAATTCCCACCATCAAAACTCGAAACTTCAAACCTTCCTTACTATAGACAAAGTTCTGCTCTAGGAGGTAGACTTAGAGTCTGATATTTTTCTGAAAACAAGAACTATACCACGCACACCATTTAAAAGTGAGCAAATAGTGGGCACTCAATAAATGTATATTAGTAGGCAGGTGAAGGTACTATTTGTTTTTTAGCATTATCTATGTACCAGGAACCAATGTAAGCAACTGGTGTTGAACAGAACCAAGACTGATTTCTACAGAGGACCTACATTCTAATGGGAAACAGAAATAAATGATAAACATGATAAGCAAATGAACTGTAAAGTATGCTACATGGCAAACATTGCTATGCAGATCGGGAAAGCAGGATAAGGTAAGGGGATGAGGCATGCAGCTGGCAACATAGCGAGTATCAGACAGCATGATGTGGATCAATGGAACACAAAACATGGATGTACACTTACTTTGAGTTTGCAACCTTCATTCTGACACAGCTTCCTGACAAGGGCCCCAATGACGATCATAACAGTTTCTCTGATGTCATTGCTCCCAAAGGAGCCTTTGAACTTACTCTGTTAGCCAACAGGGAGAAAATAGGTTACCAAGATATGTAAATATTTCCAAGAAACACTTTTAGTTAAGTAATAAAGTAACCAATACAGACTGAGGAAATGTTTTTATGTTTCTAGATTGCAAACTCAGAATTTTGCTTTTGAGACACTTACAAATTCACTGTCTAGCTTTGAATTGAAGAGTTAATAGAACATCCCTCATTTCAGGTATTTTTAACCCGGGGAAGTCTATGAACTTATTATGGCTTGGATTCATTGGGTTAATGAACAAAGAAAAAAAGCTTGTAAAATTTTATGTATGGGTGAAGAGGGGTTTCATCACTTTTTTCAGATTCTTAACAGGCCCATTTTCCAAAAAGATTATGAGCTATTCCTCTACACTATAGGCAGATAAATGCACTTAAAAAAAAAAAAAAAAAAGTCTTAGGTCCAAGAGAAGTCTAGCTTTTGTTTTCAATATAAATTTTTTAATATCAGAAGAATTGTACCTCTTCCATCTAGGTGTATGAAATACCATGAAGATTTCTGAAGTCAAAACAAATCTTTTAGAATTGATTATTGAAGTATAACCTAGAGTTCTCTCTGAAATTTTGTCCTATGCCACATAATACGATAGGTGAATATGATCTTTAAATTTCCATACAATTTATACTATTTGATGGTATTGCAAAGAAGACACTAAGTGAAATAATTTGCTGTACAGTTAATAATTAATGGATAGAAAGTAGTCCAGTAGATTTGAATGCGAATACTCAGGAGTCTCTAGCAGGCAGCTTTCGTTCTGATCTCAGCAACTTTATAACAATTACTGCTCACACTCGTAGGAGGGTTTGTTGTTTGTTTGTTTTAGCAGCTGAGAGTCCTTGTTTGCCCAGTGCCCACGTGACTTACAATGAGGGCTCTGAGCAGTTCTTCGTTGGGATGAGAGGCAAATCCACAGGCGTAGAGGAAGCGCTCCTGGAGGATGACACTACTGTCACTTTTGAAATCTAGAAAGTCCAGAATGGCTTCTAACGAGTCCGGCGTCTGGGCAGAGGTGACTGCGTCCACCAGCTGAGGTCTGTAAAAACAGGCATAATTATGGATAGCAATGTTTAGGGTGCTTAAAGAATTCTTTAAAATCTCTATCATTCACAAGCTCTCCATTGTTTTGAGTTTCCTAAAGAATTGAATTGTTTTTATTTGAACAAAGGGAAAATGATTAAGGCTTTCTAAAAAAGATCCTTCATTTTATTTTAAACATCTCCTTAACTCCCCTCTCTCACTCAAACAATGTATACTCAGAATACGCAAACTAATTTTACTATATTAACCTAAGCCAAATATAATTTGGAGATTTATAAATAAAAATTATATAAATAGTATTATATATTAAGTTCAAATTCTTTACTATGTGAGTAATAACTAAAAGTCATAGTCTCTAAAATTTATTCTCTTCTTCTATCTTTGCAAGTATCATATTTTGCAAATGCCTAATTAAACTAAAGCAGTATTATTTGATGGAAAGATGGGAAATCCTTTTAACTTTCATTTATATCCGAGGGAAAAGGTTTTGCTCTTTTTTTTATTTGTTTATTTTTTCAAAAGTAAAAAACACCATAGCATAGTTCTATGTTCAACCACAATGAATATGTGGGAGCAGAATATACCTCCGCAGGAAAATTCTAGTTACAGATGCTGGTCATTAAAAAATCTGTGTTTGGTTGAGTCTGGGAAAGTAAAATTTCTGAAACTAGTTGTTATACTAATGAACGTATATATGTAAATATTATATACCACATCCATATAAACACGTCAGACATGTACTAAGCACATTATACTAAGGACTTTATACTTTTAAAAAAATAATGTACTTGCACTTTATCATTTTGATCCTAACAAAAACCTAGTGAGTGAAGCAGAGACAAAAAGATAAAATACTTATCAAGTGTCTATCGTGCACTAGAAAACTTAGGTGTGCAACCTTTCTTTAGATTTTTAGATTCTTCATCTAGAAAATGTGGCTAAATATAGTATTTACCTCAGGATTGTTGGGAGGATTAAATTACACAATCTAATTAAAACATTTAGAAGAGTACTTGGCATATAGCAAGTCGTTAATAAATATTAGCTGTTATTAATACTGCCACTTCACTGAATCCACTGAATATTCCTGTGATTTAATACTAGCATTCCCCTTCACATGTTAGGAAATAGATTCAGGACACTGAGTCACTTGCTGAAGGTCACATAGCTAGTAAACGATGTTGCTGGGATTAGAAGTTAGGTTTTTGTGCCTATGGAGTTCATGGTCTTCTAAGTACATTGGTGTCTCCCAAAGTGTTTTTCATGTAACAATAGTCCTACAAAATGTTTTTTGAAAAAGGGTTTTCAAGTTCATGTATGTTTAGGAAATATTCAACAAAATTTATAAGGAATGTTATATGTTATCATATTGAAGATCCTGAAAATTTCTGCAGCAAAGAGAACGATTTAATTTTTTTTACCTAGTGTTTTCCAAACTCAGTTGCTCACAGAATCTCTTGCTTTTAGCATTCCTGTTAGTATCCTGCAAATGGCAGGATGCAGAATATAGGCTCTTTGGGAAATGTTACATTCTACCACCCTGCCTTTCACCATCCTACAATAAATAACTGGAATTCTTATCCCTATTTTACAGATGTTGAAACTGAGGCCCAGAGAAGTTAATTATAAATGACTTTCTTAAAGGTTATACTGCCTTTGGAAGGCAGAATTTAAAAGTAGATCTGATTTTAGTTCATTCTAGTATCCTTTCTATTACATTATGTTACATGTGTGTTATATATGCTATGGTACAATATTATGTAAATAATCAGATTTAGAAAACACTTCATGCAGTCATTCAAATTATTGCCGCTTTAAGATTTTTAGGGTACAGATAATGCTAAGGTGTAGTGTAATCTCTATTCTAAATTAATATCTAATATTTACACTTTTATTCTCAGTGTTTCTGGCTTTGATATTAAGACAAGTCATTCTACCAATATATTTTAAAGTTTTATGATAAAAACAGAGCCTAAGAACTTATGATTTTGCATAGCTTTCTTTTTTTAATTGAAAAACAATTTTTTTTTGAAACAGGGTCTTGCTGTGTCGCCCTGGCTAGAGTATAGTGGCATCATCATAGCTCACTGCAACCTTAAACTCCTGGGCTCAAGTGATCTTCCTGCCTCACCAGTAGCTGGGACTACAGGCATGCACCATTGCACCTGGCTAATTTTTATGTTTTTTATACAGATAGAGTCTCTTGCTCAGGCTGGTCTCAAACTCCTGATTTCAAGCAATCCTCCTGCCTCAGCCTCCCGAAGTGCTCAGATTACAGATGTGAGCCACCAAGCCTGGCCTGATTTTGCATATCTTTTAATGTCAGTTTAAATATTTATTTTTGAAGACAGTGACCAACTGTGGTTAGTCATATGGAATGCCTATTAATTTTCACATGTCTGCAAGGCAAGTAAATACATATAATCCAGAATAAACACACTTCTAGAAGAAAGCTGAATTTGCCTTCTCTTGGGGAATTTAGTCCTTTGAACTCAGTGACGGCTGCTGCTGCTCTGTATGTGTACGTCTGTGTGTGTGTGTGTGTACGTGTGTATGTGTACGTGTGTGTGTGTGTGTGTGTGTGTGTGTAACTTGGCCAATTTCTACTTTTTATTATGCTAATGCCTAGTTTCCACTGTTTGTCAAATGAATGGAGCCATGCTGTATATCACCAATTAGGATAACTGGCATCATACAACTGAATTTATATTTATAGACAAACTCTGTATTACAGACTGAAAAAACCCTGTTATTTTCAGACAAAGTGGAGTTGAGGATTAAGTCAATTCTCTTTATTACACATGTAAAATGAATCACACTTTCACCAAATAGTAAATAACATATGGATTTCTTTTCTCTAGATTCTTTTGGCTGTTTTCCTCAGTTCTCAATTTTCTATATAAAACGTGGCTTCAGCTGGCTTTTTCATGACATCATGCTTTTCAACTAAAGAAGTCATACCTCTTTTGTTTGTTTTGATGTTTTAATCAACTCACATCATTTCAAGTGTAAATTAGTAACTGCGGAACACAATTTCAGAAACACCGTGGAGCACAGGCAGCAGGTGTCATGGCAAAGCCTTCCCCTGTCTCTGGACCGATCTAGTCTTGATGGAAACTCATAAACACAACAGAACACTCATTCCGAGTCACTGCTGAAAACCTGCTATTGTATTTCTGGTCAAGTGACGGTTATGTTACTGCACTGTGCATAACCGTTGGATGAAAATGTAGAACAGCAATATAACTGATCTGGAGGCAGGGCAGTTGGTTTAAAAGGGGTCTATTTTGCTTAATAGAAAACATCCTCTCCAGGCCGGGCGCGGTGGCTCACGCCTGTAATCCTAGCCCTCTGGGAGGCCGAGGCGGGCGGATTGCTCGAGGTCAGGAGTTCAAAACCAGCCTGAGCAAGAGCGAGACCCCATCTCTACTATAAATAGAAAGAAATTAATTGGCCAACTAATATATACAAAAAATTAGCCGGGCATGGTGGTGAATGCCTGTAGTCCCAGCTACTTGGGAGGCTGAGGCAGGAGGATTGCTTGAGCCAGGAGTTTGAGGTTGCTGTGAGCGAGGCTGACGCCACGGCACTCACTCTAGCCTGGGCAACAAAGCGAGACTCTGTCTCAAAAAAAAAAAAAAAAAAAAAAAAAATCCTCCCCAAAATATTTTCCAGACAGATAGCCCCAGACAAAGATTGGGAAACTTACAGCACTTCCTTGTTTTCTGTCCTCAGGACTTGAAGGATCTCTTCTTTCTTTGCAGTTCTGAGATGCTGAACGAAGGCCAGGAAGTTTCTGACGGCCTGAGCCTTGGAGAGGCTGGCAGGCTGCAGGTCCTTCCTGATGGACTGCCAGTGCTCCAGGAGCTGCAAGACACAGCTGCAGGCTCACGGCCGTTCGCAACTCCCAACGTCGCATTTACAAAAGGTGTTCTCCCCAGAAGCAAAATGCTCCTTGTGGCTGAAGCAAAAGAGCCTTTTTGCATCTCACCTCAGTAGACCTGATGGCTCCCTTCCCATGTCACGCTGCCGGGACTCCCAGACACCTGCTGACCCTGTGGACCACTCCTCTGCAGGAGGATCCGTGCTGCCTATTCGAGTTTAGCTTGAAGAGCCTTGGGCGATAATTAACTGGCTTCGGGGCAGAAAGGTCATCCCATGGCTACACCAAGGGAATCACAGCTGAGGCCAGGCTGTGACCACCACAGTGAAATTGTGCAGAATGTTAATCAACAGCGGGACATTTTGGAGGAAAAAATAATCAGAACTGCTGAAGAATTGCATCAGCTTTCTAACTAACCTGTACCACACTGAAGATCACTTTTTCTAATAGTTTGAGCTTTCTATTCTATTCTTTATTGTATTGTTTGTGTGACATTCAATGTTTTATTATTGCTGACTTCTGTCTGAATTGTCCATTGCTTATATCTATGTTTAGTAGAGCAGTATTTGGATAAAGGTAATTTTCACAAAGTTATCCTACTGTGGTTTTAAAAATAGTAAATGGTTCTAATTAATGGTGTCTCTTGGCTTTCAAGCAAACTAAAGAACTTATTTTTCATAGTTTACTACTTTCACCCTAGTTTTACAGAATGTATTAAATTCTATCAGTGACACTCAACTTTCTAACTCTGCAGTAATCAGCATGCTGCCAGTTTTTTTTGTTTTGTTTTGTTTTGTTTTTTGAGACAGAGTCTCACTTTGTTGCCCAGGCTAGAGTGAGTGCCGTGGCGTCAGCCTCGGTCACAGCAACCTCAAACTCCTGGGCTCAGGCGATCCTCCTGTCTCAGCCTCCCAAGTAGCTGGGACTACAGGCATGTGCCACCATGCCCGGCTAATTTTTTGTATATATATTTTTAGTTGTCCAATTAATTTATTTCTATTTTTAGTAGAGATGGGGTCTTGCTCAGGCTGGTTTTGAACTCCTGACCTCGAGCAATCCTCCCGCCTTGGCCTCCCAGAGTGCTAGGATTACAGTCGTGAGCCAACGCGCCCGGCCCAGTTTTTAAATTATTCATTACTTCTAATAAGCAATAGACACTTATTTTTTCTCTTTTTCAAATTCCTTTTAGCTATCTAATCTTAAGAGAATATTCCCAAGCAAAATTCAAACTGTACTTAGCTAAAGATTTACTGTGTCATTTCTGAAGGCCAAGAGCCTATCAATGTGTACTCAAATTTTTTTGCTTTAAAGAGCTGCAATTGACATTATACTGAATTTGGTAAAGCAAATTTCTCAATGACATAAACCCTTCCTACTATAATCAAGAAATAATTTTTGAAAGTCTTAGATGGCTCATAATGTTTAATAACTATTGGAGGGGGAGAAATTAATAGTCCATGGCATAAGAAAAGATTACTTTCATTAGTCACTTTCTTAAATAATTTCCATCTTATATGACATTAGAAAATTACATTGGAACATTAAATGATATATGGAAGAAGAACAAATAAAAGAAGAAACAAAAGTTTAAAAATGATTTTGTGTTTCAAATGCTTTGTTTTTCCTCTAATTCAATTTCAGAAATGAATAAGGAATTACTGTCTGGCACTGTAGGAAAATTATGGCGTTACTTTTTTATGATTTCACTTTCCTAAATGCCAGCCACCTGCAGGGTAAGAGCACCTTCTGAGAGCTTTGCTCTCCTGACAAGAATAAATATTAGAAATTATTAGAAATTAGAATTAAATATTAGAAAATACTGAACTCTAAAGTCACTTACGTGACTTCAATATATCACAACTGATCCATGAAATAAATAACATTTCTCTTTGTTGGATTAAAAACCTTACAAGATAATCTGCACTTTGTCCTAAGGATGGGCTATCTCATTTCTGGCTGTAATAGTAAGAAGAGGTTGGAATATGGCAAAGAAGTGTTTTCTAATTTGGTCAGAAAGCTTGGCATCCCTTGTTAGTCCCCGGAGCAATACTCAGAACACGGAGGTCAGTAAAGTGTCCCCCGTGTGGACAAATCAACATTAAGTGACAGAACATTCAGGACTCAGCCTCTGCCCATATTCTTGACACCATCTGCTTCTCCCTAGCTTCATTATTCCCTTCAGCCTTCCTGAACTTGAGGTGCAGCTTTTGGAAGGCTGCCCTTCGGTCATAACGTTTTTTGTTGGACGTGCATGGATGGTGATTATCTGCTAATCACTGTTGTGTTCTGCACCTTCTCGGGTGGATATTGCATGACTATTGTCATCCTAACTCCACGGTGGCTGGTGGTTCTGTGGAAACTTTCTTCACAGAATAAGCTGATGCTTTCATTGGAGAACAAAAGGAAAGCAGAGTTCTAAGCCATGCTTAGCCCCACACTTGTCCATACTCACAGAAGGGCACCCTTTGCACTCGCGCTGGAAGACCTGCCCCACGACGGGAAGGGCCGTGTACTTGGAATCGACGGCTCTGACCACGGCCGCCGCCTGCTTGCCAGACCTCAGCCTCGGGCCGGCGTCTGTCGTCTTCAGCTCCAGCCTCTGCCTGTGTCACACACAGGAGCACTCTTGTGAGTGAGCGGAACGCTAACCGCTGTTCTCTGGGCAAACAGGACACTAATTCATTCCAGTTGTGTACAGCCGTGTCTTTCCAACTGGGGTATCTCCTGAGCTAACTGGACCCTCGAGACAATTACGAAGGCTTCCTGGAGCAACCATTTTAGTCAAAGATTTGAAAATTTCGGTGTGGATTTTCAAAATATTATAACAAGAGAACACAGAGAAGAAAATTTGCCGGGATGTCAGCTCTTTTGAATTGAGCCCGGCTTTCTGAAAACGGGATCTTCAATATAACCACATGGCACTTGTTAACCAAGGCAGGGCAAAAAGCTTATTTTCCAAAAATAGTCTCAATAATAGAACCTTGTCTTCCAGAACCTTGTCTCTCTGCAATCAAAAGGTGGGGTCTATATCCCTCGCCTTGAGCCTGGGTGGGCCCCTGGGGCTGCCCCCACTAATGGAGGGCGGTGTGAGTGACTCTATGTGATCTCTAAGGCTGTGTCTTCAGAGGGGACTCAGCTGTCCTTGGTCACACTAGCAGCACGTGTGCCTGTGGAGCCTTGAGCTGCCGTGTAAGAAGTCCGGCTCCCTGAAGCCACGTGGACGTAGAGAGAGAAGCAGGGGCAAGCTCAGTTATTTGGCTCTCCCCGGCTCAAGCACCACATATATGAGCAGAGCAACCTCCGCATAATTCCAGCCCTAGCCAGTGGCCACACCTGCGTAACAGGTGCCCAGCAAGGCCAAGGCAAGCCCTCAAGCTATGAGAGCGAATAGTGCCATCACTGTTGTCTTTTACACCACTGAATTTGGGGTGGTTTGTTGTACAGCATGGAAACCTGATAGGTCTCATAAGCAATTTAAAATATGTATTTTATGTGAAAATATAAGCAAACAGTATGGATGTAAGCGTGAAGTACAATGCAAACTTCTACTCCAGATGAGAGTCCAATAAAATTTCAAGTATTTATGATTTGAGACCCTTCTCCCAAGATTTTGCATCCATTTGGTTCTGACACAAAGAAGAGATTTTTGAGAAGCAACAGCATAAATTATAACACACTCACTGCAAGAAAATGTTTTGTTCTGAGTTAAAATCTGAAAATAAGATCTCTTTGATTTGAAATTTCAGTTCTTAATCCTGTTAGGACTATTCCGACAAGAGAAATGGTCTCACATTGAATAAAAAAGCCTTAAATATTTAAGCTTTATAAATCACATACAAATTCTATCACCTCTCTTTACTAGGGAACCTTTTATGTTTTTTAACAACAGTAATTTTAAGACCTAAAGAGAAAAGGCAAACGCCGCCACTTTTTAACCTTAACGTTGAAAATAATTGACAGAGAAGTTAGAAACTAGAATTAGAAACTAGATAAATCAAATAGTTTGTCTTATAAAATTTAAATTCTATTCAATAAATAATAGATTTGAAATGAAATTTTATTAACAAACAGTAAACATTTACTATGCATCATGTATTATAGATGTGAAAAATGAAGATGAATAAGTTAGAAAGATGAATAAAATAAAGATGATAAAAATAAAGATGAATAAGTTATAATCACTGTTTTCAAGGAGCTCACAGCCAAAATTAGGAAGCACAATATATACAGTCTCCAGCAAAACACATACTTTCATTGGTTAAAGATAAAGAAAATAAAATTAGTTAAAATAATATAATAAAAGATTAAAAATATTTTTTAAAATATTTAAAAAAACCAATATATACAGTCATGTGCCACATAATGACATTTCAGTCAATGACAGACTGCATATACTACGGGGTCCCATTAGATTACAATGGAGCTGGAAAATTCCTTTGCCTAGTGACATGACAGTCGTCATGACGTCATAGCCCAACACGTTACTCCCACGTCTCTGGTGATGCTGCTGTGAACAAGCCCGCTGCAGTTGCCAGGCATATAAAAGTGTAGTATATACAGTTATGTGCACCACATAACAGTTGATAATAATAAATTCCTGGTTTATATATTTACTATATTACACTTGTTATCAATATTTCAGAGTGTACTTCTACTTATATAAAAAAAATGTTAACTGTAAAAACAGCCTCAGGCAGGTTCTTCAGGAGGTTTCCAGAAGAAGGCATTGTTGTTGCAGGAGATGACAGCTCCATGCATGTTACTGCCCCTGAAGACCTTCCCGTGGGACAAGATGTGGAGGGGGAAGGCAGTGGTATTGGTGACCCTAGTCCTGTGTGGGCCTGGGCTAATGTGTGTGTCTGTGTCTTAGTTTTTAACAAGAAAATTGAAAAGATTAAAAAAAAAAAGACACAGAAAAAAGCTTACAGAATAAAGATATAAAGAAAGAAAATATTTTTGTACAGCTGTACAATCAATGTTTGCGTTTTAGGCTAGGGGCTATGACAAGAGTCGAAAAGTTAAAAAAATTAAAAAGTTTATAAAATAAAATGGTTACAGTAAGCTGAGATTAATTTATTACTTAAGAAATATAAATTATTTTTATTTGCCATATTCTACTGACATGAAAAAAATTAGAAAAATTCCTTTTATAAGTTTAGTGTAGTGTAAGTATACAGTGTTTATAAAGCAAACAGTAGCTAGTGTACAGTAATGTCCCAGGCCTTCGTGTGAACTCACCACTCACTCACCACTCACCCACAGCAACTTTCAGTCCTGTAAGCTCCATTTAAGGTAAGTATCCTATACAGGTGTACCTATACAGTACACCTATACAGTACATATTTTTACTGCACATTTTTCCATGTATAGATATGCTTAGATATACAAATACTTACCATTGTGTTACAATTACCAACAGTACTCACTGTAGTAACCTGTTGTACAGGTTTGTAGCCTAGGAGCAGTAGCCAAGGTCTGTAGCAGGCTGTGCCATGTAGGTTTGTGTAAATGCACTCTATGATGTTACAACAATAATGAAGTTGCTTAATGACACATTTGTCAGAAGGTACTCCCATTGTTTAACAATGCATGGCTATATACACACACATACATACACCCACCTCTATTAATATTTATAAACCCAGTATAATAATATAACAAAGACTAGCAAAGAAATTAAAAATTGCAGCATATCTTACTTTGATACTATTTTCCCGGTAATGGTTTGTAGGAAATTCAGCCCAAAACTGTGTGTTTCTTCTGCAAGCACAGCTATGACGAAGCTGTCTTCTATCTTATAGGTGGTGGTGGATGAGGCTTTGGAACTGACACCCAAGACCTAAATAAATTAATTAATAAATAGTCGTTTTTGTAACAAGGAATCAGCTTTTTAATCTTTGAATGGAGTCAAATAACAAATCATCAGTCTACAAAGAAGTTACACCCTTCCCCCATCACCCACCTCTACAATGTATTTAAACAAGTCTATTCCTTTTTTATATGTGAATCTATAGCCTAAACTAAAAATATGTTTCCAAATTACATTGCTACTTTATTTTTCTCTTATTTTAAATTAATCTCTACAAAATGGAATTATTTGAATGCCCCAAAGAAAGTGATATCGATCATACCTGATTTGGGATTGTAAATCCAGACCTTGCTATTTTGCATGAATCCAGGGCCTTAATTTTGATCACTTTGTCTTGATGAGCCTGGTAGGTCACTTTACAATCCCCAGAGATGTCTACCTAAAAAGAAAGGCAAAAACATAATGCTTGGAAGTCCTCATGGATTGTTTGATTTCCAGTGGGAAGTGGCTTGAAAATTGAGATCTCAAAAAAACGCATCAGGGACTGCCTATCTTACCAGCACAAGACAAAAAGACAAGAAGAACTCCAGGGTTCCTGTAGCATGTAGATTCTTTCCTATTCTCTTTGGTTGAGTCTTACTAGTGCCTTCTTGTTTCATCACTTCCGAAATAACGTGGAATTTCCTACTTCTCTGCGTGTCTCGTGAGAACAGGACAAATGCCCCAGCCCTAACTGAACCCTCAGGCCAGTGGATAATCATGTGGCAAAGGGAGTGGAGAGTTGACACTGTATCTAGACTCTTTGTGTGTGTATGTGTGTGACTGTGTGTGTGTGTCGCTTTCGCAAGCTGAGTACGACTAGAAATTCTTAAAATCCTTTGGGATTAATTCAGCTCGTTATTAGTCACATAAACAATTTGAGTTTAGGCAAATGTGTCCCCATACAGACCCTGCTGAGCTTCTCTGAGCTTGCCCTGGGCCCCTGCCTGCACCACGCCTGCTCTCTCTCCCAGCAAGCCGACCAACATTCTTCTGGCCGCGCCCTGCTACCAAGTGTTCTCACCCACGCGGGGCTGGCCGAATTCAGACTAGGAAACTTGGGCTCCAGGCTTCATTCCAGGTGTGATACTGGGGGATCCATTTAACTTCTCTAACTTAACCTCAGTTTCTTTGTAAAATGAAGGGGATTGGGATAGACCAGTAATTCCCCACATTGACCATGCATCCAAATAATCCATGAACACTATTCTAATAGATATGCTCAGGTCCTCCTTAATACAATGAATCAGAATCCATGGAGTGAATACAGGGAATCTACACTTTTAATAAGCTCCCCATGGTACAATGGTGCACAGCCATGTCTGGGAATCGGTGGAATGATCCTCAAGGTTCTTCGCATATCTAACATTCAGTTATTCTGAAAGTCCCCTTACCATCACAGATTCTCATTATCTTTACACTGTATTTAAATGACAAAACATGGAGGTAAATGGCAATTGTTTCATGTGCAAATGACCACAGGTGACCCAAGTCACCTTTTCTGAGCATTATCACAGCAGTAACTCTTCTACTGAATTTCTACATGTAGAAATCCTTATAAGCCTTGCTGACAGGTAAGATGCGGAATCCTTAAGAATATTGGCAAGTACCTCATTGGTGGTTCCAGAAGTTAACTGGGTCTGAAATAGGCTAGCCAGGCCCCTCTTGAGATTTTCTATGGCCACTGGTTCATTCTGATAGGAGTAAAACTCTTTGATCTAGGGAGAAAAAAAGGAGAAACACAAATGAAGCAAACATGCATCATTTATCAGATGTGGCAGGCAGGTTCAGATTCTCACCCCTGTTAATTCTGGGGGAAAGAGATCTGCTACTCCTAAGCTGGGGTTTCCTTTTTGTGAAAAGAAGCTATATGTTTCTAAGTAAGTTTCTAAGAAGCTGGCCCATCAGAGCTTGAAGTTTATAGGGACATGATGCTGCTGAATATTACGGACGTTGAAGAGGGAAGGGAAGAGCACGGACAGGGGCCAGGATCTCTGTGAAAACAGAAAGGATTGCCCAAAGAAGAGAAATCAGATATCTTCTTTGAACATGCCATCAGGTTTTGTCCTGGTGACCCTGCTTGAAACAAAAACTAACCAACGTTTTAAATAGCAGCAAATCCGAAAGTTCTTGGAAGAGAATGGCAATCACCACCCCCAGACTCCTGAGATGGCACAGCTTTTATAGGCTATCACAAGGGCATGGCCATAAGGCCCACGGTCAAAATCTCACAGGGCCAATGTTTGCTTGGCCTCCAGACCATTCCTGTTGGTCCTGGGTAAAAAGAGATGCAGAGGTTGGAAGATTTGAGGTCGCGATTGCTACTGCTGCATAACCTGCCCGGGCACTGCTGTGAGATTCCCTTTGGGAGGCAGAGAAAAGAGGTTGGAATGAGAAGGGTGACCAGGATTTGGCAGCACTAGTAAATGGCTTAGCTTTGTTTTATCATCTTTGCCATTTATAGACACAGGGATGAGAACAGTGTCTTCTACCATTTTGATAATTTAACCCATGTTTAAGAAACAGGATAAAAGTACAAAGAGAATTTTCTGGAAAGTAGTCTGATGTTTTTCAACCTGTATTGACTCCAAACACGTCACACAATTTAGAAATGGAGAATAGATATATCATCTCTGTAAAAGTTCCCAGGGTCTATGATAATTATAGTTAAGCATTTCTATCAGAAATATCCTGAATGCCTTCCTATTCCTCCTTAAGACAAACCATGACTTGTCAAGTAAAGCTCAGCAATTATGCAATAAATCCAACTGATACCAATCTGAATAATTCAGCCTACGTAAAAACTCTCTCATACTTTCGAAGAGAAGAGCTTGCCAGAACTATCCAAGCAAGTTGCCTCAAATCTCTTTTTACCTCCTGTGTATGCTCTGCCTACTGATGAATTTACTTTATCTGGCAATCAATTTTAGTCCTTACACTGGATGAACCTATAAATGTTGGAAGACTGTGTGTCCCTATCAAAAAGGAACTGGCATAGTGACCTCAGTGTCTGAAAATCCACAGTATCATGTTCTCAAACAAATCACTGGCCATGTCCCGGCCTCGAGCCTGAGTTTATGATGTTCTGTTTTGTAAAGTGGATCTTCTTTAAAAATCACAGTGCAATTTCTTTTTCAAATGTCTGGTAGTAGGTATCATGACTATTAGAAGTTCATAACTGGGTTGTTTGAGCTCGAAACAGTCAAAGGGACTCACTGGGTGACAAAGGACACACCTGTGGCCCATATCCTTTTGTTCTGAGTCTTAAATACTTTAGAAAGCAAGCTCCACTAAGTGGGAAGAATACTGTACTGTCATGATTAGCTCACTTTTCTTCTAGGCTACAAAATGGGCCTGTATTATTTATAAACCTTTCCCTAAAATTTCAGGAAACCCAGTTCTCAGATTTACTGTTTAGACTATACACAAGGTTAAGTGCTCCGCTATTACTGACACACTTCTATGAATCCAGTTTTGATCTTGACCTCTGGATTCCTCAGAAAATCGCGTTAGAGACATTTTTTTTCCTGGTAGGCTGAACGATAGATATAAACTGTGAGACACAAAGAAAAAAATTTTTTTCATTCCTTCTGTTAGTTTCTATTGTTTCCATAGAACCAGACAAGTGAACAAATCTCCTTCTTTTGTATGACTGCTACTTCTGGGGCCCAAATTCTGTTTCTTCAGATTAGAGCAGACTAATGAGATCAGAGTGAAGATAGCGCTGGTATCATCCCAGCTGAGTGTCAAAATGGTTTAATCGAGCTGGCTTGTGATCATTAAACAGCAATAATAATATAAAATCAGGACTTTGCAGTTCAATCCACATGGCTGTCATAGTAATAATCTGAAATTCCTTCCTTCACAATAGGAACTGAGTAAGTTTTATTTTGCATATTTTTTCTTGGGAAGAAGATGCCTCTCTATATATGTTCCTCTACTTTATGCAGTTTTTAGAAATAAGAGAAGACAAAATTCCATTAACTGCCCAAACAGCAAAATAAATAAAAAAGATCCTAGCAAACAGGGGTTAGTCATTATATCTTTGATAATCTATCTAAGACAGAGCATAGCTAGGAAATGGCACATTGAAAAACAAGTAAGGAAATACATAGAACAAACTTGAAAGCTTTTGATGTTTCCCATTTCTTGTGGAGGTTCACTGTATGCACAGAAGCTATGCTGCCTGATTTCGAGAGCAAATCAATGCTCAGAAACAACGAAACGTAAAGTGATGACTCAGCAGCCACGTGGTTACATTAATCTACACAGAGGGCCAAAACCAGAAATGGAAATCCAATGATCATCCAGTTAATTGGATTAGCATTTCAGGCTACAAAAGAATCCATGCTATAACTTGAGGCATCTTTTGCTTGTCAGTGTTAATCAACTTAACCATATAACTGTCACGTTTCCAACTTAATTTATGATTTGCAGACAAAACTAGAGTCATGCCCAAACACTTACGCAGAGATGACTGGGCATGGAGCAAAGAAGATGTGCAATGAATGTGTATCTGAGTATTTGGATGGTCTCTCTCTTATAATGTGAATGTGGGAATTTCAAACAGGGAAGGGGGAGGGGAGACCTCTGAGAGGACAAAAAGTGCATGCGATGAACATCCTTGGAATCATAGAAATTTCACGGAGCAAAACTTAATTTGAGCATGAGGTAGAAAATGCCCTCTAAGGAAACAGATCATCAGCCCTTACCCTGCCCTGCCTTTCACAGTTAGTGGAACTGATAGTTTAATGATCTTTCTGACAGTTATGCAGCTGAAACTTCCACTTGGCTTCTTATTCTCCAGAGTCAAGTTTTTTCCAACGAGTACGTTATTGGGTAATCGAGAGATACGATGATGTACTTTAACCTGTGCTTATAGGAAATCATCACAAATCATAGCTCCTCTGAACTGGGCCATTGGAGTCACTGAAATCGTGAGGTGGCAGTTTCCTCCCAGCCTTTGACCAGGGGGGGTACGGAGTTCTTTCATGGGTGTAACAAGACTTCGTACTCAGCTGCTACCAGAGGAGCCATAAAATGATGGGCTGTCATTAAGATTATAAATACAATTGATATTTTATGGACTCAAGTCTTGCCACATTGGAAGTGCAGAGAGGAAAATAGCATTTCATGTCGTTAACAAAGTTGAGCCACTTGCAAACTGAGTGAGTCAACAGATGCCACGATGTAATGAAGGGGTCCCACAGGCAACCAAGAGGCAGGCACGTTCCCAGAACTTTCCAGAAAGAAGATAGCAGAACACAGAGGTTTGAGCACAGACTCTGTTTCAAATCCCAGCTCCACCACTTGCCAGTTGTGTGACTACAGGCAAGTTTCCCAACTTTTCTTAACTTTAGTTCTTCAGCTATCACAAGAGGATGATAAAGTAGCCCCTGCTTCCCAGAGCTGTTAAGAGGATAAGAGACAATTCATGTCATGCCTTCAGTTAGTGCCTGGCACACGGTAAGTGCCTAGCACATTTTAGCAATTATTAAGTAAACAATAAGCAAAACAATAAGCATGGTGCACCAAGGGGTAGAAAGGCATGGAGGTGGTGGGGAGTGGTTGGAATATAAAGAGGAATGGGGATTGTATCCAAAACCCATAATCTAACAGTGAACAGAAATGACCAGAAAGAAAGCGTGAGGGTCATGAGTGAGCTACGATGTGCTGAGTGTTCTGAAGAGTTATGGCCACTTTCAGCTGGCCGGAAGGGTGTGAACTTTATGAAAGAAAGGCCCTGTGAGCAAAGTCTGAAACATGGTAAGAGTTTGGACAAGTGGAGAAGGAAGAGAAAGCATTCTTAAAGACAGTGATTCATATTTGGTTGTAGGAGAGGTGATGGCATAAGGTTTCTTCTGGTGAGTCCCTTTTAAGTACTACTGTATATAAAAATGTCCGTCACAATTAGCAATATAGAGGTCTGAAATGTCTATTTTAAAGTGTGTATTTTCATCTTTATTTTGAATCTAGAAAGTTTAATTTTAGAGATGTGCAGAGTTATAACTATACTGTTCCCTTTCTGTTTTCCTGCTTTGGTTCCTAAAATTAAACTCTCCTCTTTACTGAGGCATTTTTATGTATGACAACAGAATACGTATAATTTCATAAACCCCCATATGTAATGGCTAATAATTCACTGATCATAATGGCTTCTTAATTCTAAAATACATTAAGACCATTTTAATAGAATCAAACTATAAGTAATATACACTTACAGAAATTTTGAGCTGATTTCCAAATGGATATTATATAAAGTATTCATTCATTATTTTAATATTTAAAGTGCTTTTCCATGTCAGAGTTTTAAAATAATCTCTAACCACTTCTTGAAAAAAATCAACTTTATCTTAAACTTGTCATGCCCTTTCAAAAACTTCAACTTTGTACTTTAGCCAGATATTGATATACTCACAAATAAATATTACTAATCTAAATTATTAATATATTATTTCATTCTCATAATTTGTGTGCTTTCCTGAATTTATCCAATTATGCTGTGATGATTTACTGTATTATACTATCTTTGTAATTCTTCCATAAGAAATGCACCTTTTAATAATACCTCATCAATAAATAAATATTTGGTTCTACTTACAAAGATTTTCACAAAAATAGAAAACATAAATTTGTTAGTAGATATGAGGGATTCAGGGCATTGATTTACTTTGGAAACATAATAAGAAGATATGCTTATTCATTCTTGAAAATAATTCCACATGATCACCCCAAAATAACATCTATTGAAGTGAAGAAAAATATGAACTTGGAAAAAAAAGATGTGGGACCCCCAAAATCCTTTTACCTTTCCGTGGACTAGATGAAGGAGCACAGGTCTTTGTAGAGCTTCCAAGTTTTCCTTCCCTATGATTTTAGGTGGACTTTTTCCTTTGAAGATGCTCTTCTCTCCTCTCTGCTGATTCACATTTTCAACACGTACATCCTTTATCTGGAGTCATAGAAAGAAATTTATTAAAACATTTTCTGTCTATCTTCATCAGAGTCTTTTAAAAAATAAAATGGTAAAGGAGCAGGCAGGGTTGGCCCTAATTTCTTCTGTCATTTTTCAATTCATGATTTATAGGAACTTGAAACTCACTTTAAAACAATGGAGAGGGTATTAAAAAATTAGATTTTTGAGGAAGGCAATAATATTGATACTTAAAGAATTCTGTGACTTCAGTCTTACAATAACTGTGACTTTTAGATCATTATCACTCTGCGTGTTCGTTTGTTTTGTATGGTTGTTCTCTGCCTGATCACCTCACTTCCTGTTCCATTAGTTTGAGAAGATTCTTGCCCCACCCTACTTCATCTGAAAATTTAAAAGTAAGCCTAGACCACCTAATTACTGAATAATGAGGTATGTGATGTTCTATTGACAAATGCTCACTGATCAAAGTTGGAAAACACAACAGCTTTAAAGACATCCAGAAAAGCAAAGACCATTGGTAAATCTATTGGTAAATATATTGCAATGACAGCTCATTATAAAGGACATCAGCAACTGCTAGTTCCAAGTATTTGGTCCTGTGTCCCTGTTTCACACTTACAGGTAGAAAAATAACCAACTTTATGTTCTTGAGAAGCAAATATGGAATCACTATATATTAAAATTGGAAAAGGCCCCGTTGGCCTCTCTTCTCAACACATAAATCTAAACCATTGTAATTGTCCAATCGCTGTCATGCAGGAGAGGACATGGTTCCTTCCTCCGGAAGAATACAGAATAGGTTGACTCCCTTATTGGCGATTCCACCTGTTAGATCGAGGAACTCAGGCACCTCTTAATCTACCTCCTCTTTCGGTGATCCCAGTCATTTTCCACATGACCTGGATTCTGGACTCCTCACTGCCAGAATATTTTGAATGGATTTTGGCTTAATGTCCCTAGGAATATGATAAGTAAAATTGGACATCATACCCCACTTGCTCACCAGGATATGCCTTCTACTGCCTGCTTCAACAATTCGGAAAGACCAGCTCACTTTGGATCAGCAAAAACTTCAAAATTGTGGATCTGCTTATTTTAGTGATAGATAACAAACTAAATGGATATCTAACTAAGAACACGAAACAAGTGCTATCCAAGGGTCCACTTCCCGAAGACTTCGCTGACATCTGATCTGGGCGGTTTTCTGGTAGAAAATGCGCACCGTGATTTGGATCAGTTGGTCATCGTCACCGTCAGGATTCCTCCACAGTAAGACAACGTCCACACCAGATGAAAGTCGGTAGCCCACGCCGTCCTGCAGTTTTCCTTTACCTCGATCGAGAAAAACTTCAGTGGAGTATGTGAGCTTGTACAGCCGGTCATTATTTAATGAGAGACCAGTTGTGTGACCTGCATAAAGATAGTCACACAAGTTAAGTTTTCATTGCATAACACCTGTCAGGCCGGGGACTTGCTCAGTGGGAGGTTAGGAAATATTTACTGAGTAAAAGAGAGTTTCACTTCTCCATATGCTGAAATCATTGGCTTGAAAACCACAAACAAATAAACAAATAAGCTCCCATTTCAGAAAACTTTAGTTTGTATTCATGATCAATTCAGACTATCTAAATATTACCCCGGTTGAACAATAGAATATGTTTTAAAGAAATGCTGTTGTATTGCTTTTTAATTATGTGAATAAGATTCTAAGTAGAGGACCTACCAGAAATTGCTTTATAAATTTAATAAGAGCCACTTATAAGTATCATATTATTTAAATGCAAACAAATCAATGCCAAAGTAATTTCAAAGGTTAGAAGGCAGTTCTTTAATTTGGATATTTTTGATACTTAAAAAATACCCTTTAAGTGTAATTTACTCTATTAATGGAATTAGCAAATTTTGAGTACAAAGGTACCTCTCAGGGCTACACATATGTAAACTTAAATTAGCTGTGCCTGAGTAAAATGATGTAGTGTTACTACATAAAATCTTAGTAATGGCTAAAATTTGGCAGGTGCAATTTAATATCAAATCGTATGCAAGTCAGTGCTGTGAGCCAAGAAAATTGATATATGGATGAGTTCACACACTTTCCAATTCAGTTTAACGTATCCCAAGGAAACATAAAGAACCAAGTAATTCCTAGAGGTGACTTGAAGTTTATGGTCCTATAACTCTTTTTGTATATCTTCTACCTATGGCTTCAGGAGACAGTAAAAAACGATTTCAGGTCACCTTTCCTCAATGTTAACCAAGTTACATTGCCCAGTGAATTTAACAGGCAATGGTAACTTTTTCTCCCTCGGAAAATACACCTATCTGGAGGAGGTTGGGGTGACTAGACCAGAAGTGAAGCAGCTGAGAAAGGAAGTAAAAATATTTTTAAAAATATGCCCCCAAAATTAAGAAAACCTCTGAGAAGTCTTTGCCATCTATGCGGCGACAACCTGTTCCACTGTCTCCGTCACCCACTACAGCACTCACTGCCCAGAGGGAAAATGGTCAAGCTATATCGTCTGTGAGTTACGTCCCAGAGGGAAAATGGTCAAGCTATATCGTCTGTGAGTTACGTCCTCACAAAACCCAGTGGGGTAGGCAGAATCATTCGTCTCATTTTGTAGGTGAAGAGACCTAGGGGCACAGAGTTCATATAATCTACCCAATGTCATCCAGGCAATTAGTCATGGAGATATTATGTGAACCCAGGCTGCCTGGCCCTAAAGATGGTGCTCTTAGCTTTACTATAGGCCTCTGAAACTTTCGGTTGCCTTCCATTCCTGAGGAGTAAGCTAGGAGTTCATTCATTCATTCATTCATTCATTCATTCCACAAGGATGTACTTAGAGCCTGCTGGGAGGTAGGCACTTTTTTAGACACTGGGGCTGTACCAGCTGACACGTTTTGACTTTCATGGACTTTACATTTAAATGAAAGGGAGATGGGCAATTTAAAAAATAAGTCTACAAGCAAATTACACAGTATGTTAGAAGTGATAATGAAGAAAACTGAAACAGGAAAGGGGATGGACATGCTAGAGGAAAGACCTCCATGAGAAGTTGACCCTTGGCAAAGGCTTGGGCTGGCCACACGATGTCTGTCCCTCTCCCAAGTGCTGTCCCTCCCCCAACCCCTCCCCAGAGACTGGCGACTGCAAAGTCGCAGCAGGGCTAGTGCAGGTGAGAGAGCAGAGCAGCAGGGAGGCCAGAGGGCCAGAATTGAATGAGTGAAGGGCAGAGCAGAAGGAGACGAGGTCAAATAGGTATCTACGTGTGGCAGGGAGACTTGGGCAGTTTGAGTGAGATAGGAACACGCCAGAGAGTTTTGGGTGATGAAGTTGCATGATTTGACAAAGCTTCAAAGAAAGGGGACACGGATTTTAACAGAAATAAAGAGGAGCCAGGAGAAAGGAGTGTGCGAGGGAGTATCCAAAGGTGAATACACAAAACAGGCAGGGCCTGAGGTCTGAGACAGAGAAGCCAGGACAGCCAGGGACCACGAAGGAGACGAAGTCTGGGAGCCCCATTCCAGCCTCCCCCGGCTCCCGCTTTGCTGCATTTTAACGAAGCCTCTGCAGTGGGTTCAAACACTGGCTTGCTGGTCAGACAAGGTGTTTGGGGGAGTCAAATTCCATGGAGGGCATCAAGGGAATACACGGGGTCTTATCTAATCCTCACAGCAATTCCGAAAGGTGAGCATTATAGAACAGCTGATAGGCACTGCCTCCAAGATCAACACAACAGAGCAAATAGGACACAGAATTGCATTTAAGTTTACTGAAATCCAAGTTTTGTGGACTCCATGAAGGTGTCTTTTGATTAAAATAACTGAAAATTTGTAGGCAGGTAGCTTTTCTTAAGTTCCAAAGCTTTCTAAACTATCGTGTTGTTCATTTTCTTCTTCTTTTTACTTTACTGGTCAAAAGAATATGAGAAAGAAACTATACTAGTCATATACTTGACTATGACTTAGGAGTGGTAAAACACCCATAAGAACACTTGTTCTCCCAAAACTGTTTCCTACTTTTCAACAGGAGAGACAGCCTAACATGATTCAAATAAGTGGATTGTGCTATACAGTGTTGTCTCTGCTATCCTTTCTTCTTTGGTAGGTATTTCTCTGTGTGTGTTATGCAGAGATCTGGCATGTTCCATGTGGGGGCATGTGCCAGTGCTGACTGAATTTCTTTTCTAGGGTATTGTTCTTCAGAGTATGCATAATGGCATTATTTTTTTGAAACTGGTGATAGATAAAACCAAAAGAGAGAGAAATTTTAGCCAAAAAGGAGTCAGCACCTCTTCTATTTGCCCCTTCAAGTGCATTTAGAATTTTAAGTGACTTAAAAGCAACAAAACTCTTACTTTTGAATCTTTTAGAAATATCTTTAAATCCTCATTTATCAAACCTACATGAGTATGATAGCACTGTTGATCGGCTTATGCAAGAAGACAAAGCAGAGATAAATTGGAGGTTTGAGGTGTGCAGTAGTGATGAGTGTGGTAGGTAATGGAGTTTAAGAATTCAACAGAAACTATAAGTTCAGAAAAGTAAACCAGGAGAATGAAGGGGGAGGGGAATAATTGTAAGATAATTAAGGTAAATGGACTGAAAAGTAAAAGGAGGGCCAGGAATTGAGAGAAAGACTAGAAATGAAGAAACCCTTCAGGTTTAGAGGTGACAAAATTAAATAGAAAGTAAAAGTATTATACAAAGAAAACCCAAAGAAAGTACTGAAAATAGACCCCACCATTGCAAAGTATAATTAAGAAATAGAAGAGAAAACTTGAGTCTTGAGAAAGTTCACACTCAGCAAATCATATAGACCCTCTTCCATCCTAATCATAACCCACCTCTTCCATTCTCTTCACTTCCAACCTGCCCACAACATCCACCCAGATCAGAGGATCTCCTAAAGAGTTGCACTGGCCATTTACATTAGAGATGACTTTTGAGGCGATACATGGGACCCCAAAATTCAGAATGGCCTGATTTTAAGGTAGACTCTTCACAAGTAGTTTGTTAGTTAAATGTTAATTGTTACAAGGGCAAAGAATCTATAATTAAATCGTGGTGCTATACTACAGGACGTTTATCCCGTCTAGGTAGAGAAGCTGTCAAGTCCTGTACTTTTTATTTATGATATTGGCATAAGAGATTTGCTCCATGAAGCCCCTCACTTGCCCAGGCTCCTTCCAAGACTTTGGAAGACGACCCTTGCAAGAGGTACCCATGCTATATCTCTTTTTCAGTAATCTTTGCAAAAGTAAAATATTTTGTAATCTTTTCTCTTGGCCCCTAAGTTGCATAAGCTTCAGGTTCTAAAAGTCTGGATTTGCCACTAAACTTGTATACAACAAATAGTAGCTATGTTCCAAACCACATTTTCCCCATATGCCATTGCCGTGTGTGTTTGTGTATTAAATTCATTATAAGTGCATATGAAAACATCAACTTATCCAATTTCTAGCATATAAAATGGGGAAAAAAGAGGGAACCCCACAATAACTGCTATGTTTCAATTATTTTTCTCAAGATAATCATAGTATTAGGTTTGATATTATGGTATTTAAATCACTCATATTTCAAATACTCAACAATTTATTTTACAGATAAAATCATAAGTTCTCTATATAATAATTCTCAATTAGATATGACTTACAAATCTTTAGTTTTTTTGGTATTAAAATTTTCTTTCATCCAAGTAAGAACTATATTTTTAAAATGTGAACATTTTAGAAACTGGTGAAAATATTGCCTTTAGTTCAAAATCCTAAAGTGTGAATTAATTAGGTGAATTAATTTAAATTTAGCTCTCTATTTATTGCTGCAATAATGAACATTACTTTTTCCCTCCTATGGAAATTTTCCATACAAAAAATCTTGAGGAAAACTTTATGATCAAAAGCCCCATTTATCCCAAACAAGTTTTTAAAGTTTGTAAGTGAATTGTTTTATATCAAATACTTAGAGTATATAGTTTTAAAATTTGTCCCTATCATGCTAAATTGTATGTTGGATCAATTGGTTTTAAGAATATATCTTCTTAAGATACTCTAAATAAAGTGATTATTTTATACAAGGCAGTATTTAGAAATACGAAGAGTTTCTAATCTAGCTGATTCTAAACAAGATTCTATGTTAATACATTTCATATAGCTTTTTCAAACCATTCCTCACAAAATGTCTGTTGTCTCTCTTGCCTTTTCTGAGAGTGATAATTTATATGCATTTTTTAAAACTCCATTTCATCTTAAAATAGAAACTGTCACTAGCCACACTATTCTTCTAAAGATAATAAACCTTACTTCTTAAACATATATCATCTAATTTTATTTTCTTTAATTCACTGACTGTAATAAATCTATCACTTTTGAATGATAATAAAATAATAATAAATACATGTTTTACCATTTCATTCATACTTCTTTGGCAAATGAAATGCCTTTCTCATTGGATCTAATTCTTCTTGATGTCACATTGCTAAGCAACTAGGAGGAAATTTGAGAACTGGATTTTTTTTGAACCCTCATTTACAATTCAAATGAAGGAGCTGCATTCAGTGCCACCAACCGAAGCAGGTAACAATAGCTGGAAGCTCTTTTCCCCCTTAAAAAACGGACCATGAATGAGAAACCAAAGCAAGAACACTCTTGTCTGCCGGACTGGAACTAAAAGGAACCTCTGTTTTCTTAATGTATGCAAGAATTTGGATTTGGTTTTCATTTCAACCCATGCTTTCACAAACATTCCAAAGTTACATGGTTTTTCAGATGGTTTAGTGAGAAACTCTTTCACTATTCACACACACACACACACTTTTTACCCCCAAAGATTGAAATTAAATTTTTAGCAAAAGGCAACACAAACTCACCTTTTACAGAAGCTGAATATGAAGAAATGAAGCAGAGGAAAAGCACAGCGAGGAGAATCATAGTGACTAGCTACCCTGCTGCGTCCAGGGCCAGGTAGGAGTCACCAAGAAGAGGACTCTGCGATGGCAGCCAGTGAGGAAGTGACCCTCCTCAGAACCTGCGACAATAATGTTTATCTTTAGGGAAAGGTCAGAATCCAAACTCCAAAATCAGGACCTAAGTTCACCAAAGGTCTCACTATTAATGATTAAACGTAGAGGGGCCTCCAGTTTTCAGTCTGTCACTCCTTTTAATTTTTTTTTTTTTTTTTTGCCCAAAAAGAAAAATCAAAAAGTTTTCACTTTTAAGAGCTAAACCAAACCAGTCTACCTTCCTATCAGTGCAGAAGTACTGAGGGCCAGGCCAAGAAAACTGGTGGCGCTACTTTTCTGCTCATACATAGTCATCATCATGCCTACACTATTAACTGCCTATCTTCACGTTTCAACACTGCCTGTGGGAGGGTACTAAGGATTCTCCAACTCAGCTAAACCTAGTCAAATTTTAGTCTGTCTAATATGGTCATCTTTGAATTTTTATATTCTTTGTATGCTATTATAAAATCACTCTGAATTTTGGGATTTAAAGTGTTAGGCCATATCATTACCAATCACTTCCAAGTAATGTTCATTTTTGAAACATCGGTGATTCTCCTCATGTGTGAAACTGTATGAGTTTGGAGCAAATCAGCATTCTCCGTCATTACCATGCCAGTCGACCAAGTGAGTGTATCATAATAGACCTCTATTTATATCTGTGATGAGAAACACTTGTCTGAGTCCCCAGTAGGGCTGGATGGAGTCCTGTGCTTTCCAAATTCCATTTCTAGGAAGAGATTCAGAGGGAGAATTCCAGCGCTTAGTACTTTCTCTATAAAATATTAATTAAGAAACTTCTCTAGAGTTAAAGTAAATACCCTAGTATGGCTAAGGCTGTAAGTAAGGGACTAACCCTTGTCCCTGGAAACTCCCACCGGAGAGAACTGATATGAATGAATCCTACTTAGATGAGGTGGCTTAGGGGGTTTTGGTGAAGAAAGGGACATTTTGGTGAAGAAAGGAAAGAACTACTTGTGAGGACTACTTGAATGTACTTGAAAATACTTATGGCCACGTTTCAGTATAAAATCCATTCTTAGACCTCTTGGTCATCCTGACTGTTCTCTTTCTGGCAAAAAAAAAAAAAAAAAAAAAAATTAAAAGGAGTGACAGACTGAAAACTGGAGGCCCTCTACGTTTAATCATTAATAGTGAGACCTTTGGTGAACTTAGGTCCTGATTTTGGAGTTTGGATTCTGACCTTTCCCTAAAGATAAACATTATTGTCGCAGGTTCTGAGGAGGGTCACTTCCTCACTGGCTGCCATCGGAGAGTCCTCTTCTTGGTGACTCCTACCTGGCCTGGAGCAGCAGGGTAGCTAGTCACTATGATTCTCTCGCTGTGCTTTTCCTCTGCTTCATTTCTTCATATTCAGCTTCTGTAAAAGGTGAGTTTGTGTTGCCTTTGCTAAAAATTTAATTTCAATCTTTGGGGGTAAAAAGTGTGTGTGTGTGTGTGAATAGTGAAAGAGTTTCTCACTAAACCATCTGAAAAACCATGTAACTTTGGAATGTTTGTGAAAGCATGGGTTGAAATGAAAACCAAATCCAAATTCTTACATACATTAAGAAAACAGAGGTTCCTTTTAGTCCAGTCCGGCAGCAAGAGTGTTCTTGCTCGTTTCTCATTCATGGTCCGTTTTTTAAGGGGGAAAAGAGCTTCCAGCTATTGTTACCTGCTTCGGTTGGTCGCACTGAATGCAGCTCCTTCATTTGAATTGTAAATGAGGGTTCAAAAAAAATCCAGTTCTCAAATTTCTCCTAGTTGCTTAGCAATGTGACATCAAGAAGAATTAGATCCAATGAGAAAGCATTTCATTTGCCAAAGAAGTATGAATGAAATGGTAAAACATGTATTTATTATTATTTTATTATCATTCAAAAGTGATAGATTTATTACAGTCAGTGAATTAAAGAAAATAAAATTAGATGATATATGTTTAAGAAATAAGGTTTATTATCTTTAGAAGAATAGTGTGGCTAGTGACAGTTTCTATTTTAAGATGAAATGGAGTTTTAAAAAAATGCATATAAATTATCACTCTCAGAAAAGGCAAGAGAGACAACAAGACATTTTGTGAGGAATGGTTTGAAAAAGCTATATGAAATGTATTAACATAGAATCTTGTTTAGAATCAGCTAGATTAGAAACTCTTCGTATTCTATTTTTTTTTTTTTTTTTTTTTTTTTTTTTTCCAACAAGTCCAGATAATCTTCGTATTTCTAAATACTGCCTTGTATAATAATCACTTTATTTAGAGTATCTTAAGAAGATATATTCTTAAAACCAATTGATCCAACATACAACTTAGCATGATAGGGACAAATTTTAAAACTATATACTCTAAGTATTTGATATAAAACAATTCACTTACAAACTTTAAAAACCTGTTTGGGATAAATGGGGCTTTTGATCATAAAGTTTTCCTCAAGATTTTTTGTATGGAAAATTTCCATAGGAGGGAAAAAGGGAATGTTCATTATTGCAGCAATAAATAGAGAGCTAAATTTAAATTAATTCACCTAAGCAATTCCACACTTTAGGATTTGAACTAAAGGCAATATTTTCACCAGTTCTAAAATGTTCACTTTTTAAAAATATAGTTCTTACTTGGATGAAAGAAAATTTTAATACCAAAAAAGTAAAGATTTGTAAGTCATATCTAATTGAGAATTATTATATAGAACTTATGATTTTATCTGTAAAATAAATTATTATTTGAAATATGAGTGATTTAAATACCATAATATCAAACCTAATACTATGATTATCTTGAGAAAATAATTGAAACATAGCAGTTATTGGGGGTTCCCTCTTTTTCCCCATTTTATATACTAGAAATTGGATAAGTTGATGTTTTCATATGCACTTATAAGAATTTAATACACAAACACACACGGCAATGGCATATGGGGAAAATGTGGTTTGGAACATAGCTACTATTTGTTGTATACAAGTTTAGTGCAAATCCAGACTTTTAGAACCTGAAGCTTATGCAATTTAGGGGCCAAGAGAAAAGATTACAAAATATTTTACTTTTTGCAAAGATTACTGAAAAAAGAGATATAGCATGGGCACCC